AAGAAGAAGAAGAAGAAGAAGAAGAAGAAGAAGAAGAGAGAGAAGAAGAAGAAGAAGAAGAAGAAGAAGAAGAAGAAGAAGATAGCTCTGACTCACTACTAGATGGGTTCATTGTCAGTGACAATGACGAGCTTAGCTTCTTTGAGACATCAGATCCCGAGACACCCGACACAGAAGACGAACCCAGCCCAGCTCCGTCACCGGTCAGGTCGCCAAGAAAAAGACTCATGCGTGGAAGAAGACCAATAGCAGAAGCCGAATCAAACACTACTGCAGATGAGGAGCCCTCAATGGAATCTGTGAAGACAGAGCTGGATCTGTCAGTGAAAAGATCAAAGGCAGTCATCCCTGCACCCGAAGACTGCACACCAAACCTTCCAACCAGTTTAAGATTAACTTCTTCTGTTCACAAGGCAAAGATACCCAAGCCACAGGTTGAACCAAGCTATCTTCTTCACTTCGGCCTCCAAAATACCAACGACCTCATCCAACACCTTGAGGATCTTGGCCTAGACAGCGACAATGAGCCTACACTGCAAACCGAGCCAGAGCAGTCCAGGTAAGTTCTACACTGGGCATTCAGATGCACTTCTTGCCCTACGGCAATCACCCGTACTAACAACTTCTCTCACAGATCAGAATCAGAGAATGAACTACCATCACAATTATACCCAAGCCACAATACCCTACCACCAGTCACACCGTCGCGTGCAAAATCTCACTTTTCTCTCAACCGCTCTGTCACATCGGTTGAGAGTTCGTCCGGCATGGCTATTCCCACCACCTTAAAGGCCAAGAAGAAGGCGGAGGCGGCGCGGAAACGCGAGATGCGGGCCCAACTGGCCGAATTTAATCAAAGGAAGATCAGCTTTGCCGAAGAGTTCCTCCAGCATCTTGACCATGCCTTCGATAGCCAGATTACTCGCATGACCGAGGAAACTGGCGGCATCAAGATCATCTGGACAAAGAATTTCAGAAATACCGCCGGTCGAGCAACCGTACGTTCAGAAAGAATCCTTCGAGGAGAAGCCGGCGTAGAAGAACCCGGGAAACGACGCTACCTCGCCACCATTGAGCTCTCCGAGAAAGTCTTGGACAGCGAAGATAAGATCCTCTGCACCATGACACACGAATACTGCCACCTCCTCGATATCATGGTTACTGAGAACCGGGCCAAGGGTACTGCGCAGCATGGCGCCAGTTTCAAGCATTGGGGTGACCGATGTGTGAACGCACTGAAAGGCCACCCTATCTACGGGGGCCGGGTCGAGGTCACGACCAAGCATACCTATGAGATCAACCATAAATACATCTGGGCCTGCAAGGGGAAGGACTGTGATTTCAAGGTCGGGCGACACTCAAAAAGTGTTGACCCAAAGCGTCAATTCTGTGGCCGTTGCAGGGGCGTCCTCGAGCAGATCAAGCCGGTGCCGAGGGCTGTGGTATCCAGGGCTGTGGCACCGAGGAGGTCTGTCGTCAAGTCGATGGTTGCAGGTGAGGAGAAGGAGATTATGATCCTTGATCCTTGATCCTTGATCTCGACTGGACCGGTAATGCTTGTAAATATTTGAATCTGACCAGTGGGGTTGGCAATGAGGGCAATATAATGACCATATGAATGTCTGGCTATGTCCATTGATTTGTTTGGGAACATCCCGATAGGGGCTGCTCGTCCTCCAAAATAGAGCCCAAGACGATTTGCATAGAGACATGCAATCAACTTGGAACAAGATGTCAAATCAATCGTGATCTTCATTCGCCCTGAATTCTAACATGCAGTAGAAATAGAACGAACCTATCAACGTCAACTCTTCACAACAGTCACCACAATTAGTTAAACCTCCGCGCAGGAAACCGGTTGGCATTAATGGCCTTGATGACCTCAAGCTCATCCCGTTGACCAATTGGCTCGAGTCAAGATCCGTTTGGGGTTTTGTCTCCGCAATGCTTGCCTGACATAGTATCAAGACGTTGGATGCGATGACGAGTCCGAATTTGGGAGGCTATAAACAGGAGTATCTGCTTGGAACAACCCATAACATTCAATTCTCTCTCTCTCGTATGATCTCAACCCTATTCACCATTATGGCTTTTGGATACAAGCAAGTCCTGATCATCGGCGCCACCTCCGGGATTGGCAAAACACTCGTTGACAAACTCGTCCAAGATGGATCAAAGGTAATTGTCGCCGGCCGCAGAAAGGAGAATCTCAATGAGATAGTCCAGCGACATGGTAGCGACAGGGTTTCTGCAAAGGCATTTTACGTCACGCAGCTCGAACAGGTGAGGTCACCCATGTCAAGCGAGAGAGGTAACTCACGCCCGACGAAAGAAAAAAAAAAAAAAAAAAACAATAGATCCCACAATTTGCATCCGAAATTATCTCCGAGAACCCTGATCTGGACTGCATCTTCGTCAACTCGGGTATCCAACGACCCTTCGATTATACCAAGCCGGAAACCATCGATCTGGACATCTTCGACCAGGAACTGATCACGAACTATACATCCGCGGTCCGCTTAACCAAGGCATTCCTCCCACACTTGCAGAGCCAAAAGACCGCAACAGCCATCGCATTCACTACGTCACAAATGGCGCTCGTGCCTATGATGCGATGCCCGAATTACGGCGCTTCCAAGGCTGCTCTACACCATTTCATCCTTGCCCTCCGCACTCAGCTGCAGGATGGTCCTGGGGATGTTCGGGTTTTGGAGATTTATCCTCCGGCCGTGCAGATTGAGCTTCATGATTCTAAACATCAACCTGATTTGAAGGATGGGCATTTGATGAGGATGCCGTTGCAAGAATTTGTTGATGAGGCTTGGGATCGGATCTCAGCGGGAGAGGATCAGATTCCGGTTGGATCTGCAAAGGACATCTACAATGGGTTCGAGGTAAAGAGACAGGAATTGTATCGGGATATGACGGAGAGATGCTTTCTGGGATGTTCAAGTAATTTTGGAGGTAGAGTTGGAGCTTTGAGATTGTAACTTTTCGATGCATATAAAGATGGGATTCACGTGATGTCAGTTATTCTCAGCTGTCAATATAGGAGTTCACAGGCGGAGACGGAATCGAGGAAAGAGCTTGCCCGTTACAAGCCGCCAGTATCAACTCGCTGAAACACGACCCATCATAAACACGACCAGCAGCCAATCCCTCCGACCACTCATGCAATGAAACCATGGAGCCCTCAGAGTCAGAAAGCGCATTGTGCCACGCTATCCCAGAGTTCTCATCCCATAAATTCGTCCGTGAGTCGAACGGCAAAGAGTCGACAAACGGGGTCCGAACAGAATAGCTCCTCGTATTCAACGAGTAAGCACTGCGCAACATAAAGCAGACAATAATCGTCCCGCCGAACACTCTCCGCAAAAAGCCAAGCAGATCGAGGGCTGAGGGCTCGTGGAAGTTGAATAGGCGCTTGTTGCCATAGTTTTCCAGCGACTCCCGCCAGCATCACACTGATCGCCTCTGAATACGGCTGTGTATTGCCGTCTTCATCAAAAAGTAAGATGCATTGGATCTACAGCAACGCTTGACTGCATCCCAGAAGTTCTTCGAATGTCGCAGCGTGGCTTATTCGGCGACAGTGGTCCGCCGAGGATTGCCGGAGCAGCGAGAGCAGAGTAAAGCCCCGACCCATTTGCCTAGTCTGCACATTTAGTCTACAAACAATGGTGGATCTCACGAATAGGGGTTGGCAGGCCATTCGAATAAAGATCGGGGTGAATGAAAAGCGTCTTCCGATTTTCTGCAAAGGTAACGGGCAAATCCCGCAACCCGGCAACGAGAAATCGAATGATATTTGGATCATACTGTTTCGCGATTTCCAGTTGCAAGGGTCCATGTATGTGTGGCGTAGGAGCCACATTGGCACTTGAGCACTTCAGGCCCACAGATCGGCCAGCAGATGACCTTCGAGTAGATTGTACTGGAAAAGGTGCATTCACATATTTACAGTTGATGTCTTTGCCAAGACACCTGCCGCATCGGGGCCAGCCTTGGTCACATCGCCGTTTGCCTTTGATGCAGGCTTGGCATGATCTGCGTAATGTTACTGGCTTTAACCGATCAGCGGGCATTTAGCTCTCAAGATTTCATAGGGACCGAATTTCCACCTGAAGTATGTAGTCGGTGCATCCAGCCAGTGGTGAAAATCATCAGGTTGAATTTCCATCACAAGACCTGGTTCTCCCCGTCAGTTACGCAACGGGACCTTGTAAAGTTGCTGGTATCAATTAGTAAGTTGCAAAAGCTTGATGACCTGCGGTATGAAAGACTCATGCTCAAAACGACGATACAGCAACTATGACACTGGCTTGATCCAGCCACCTATGATTCGATCTAAATGTTGCTAGCGAGTCCTATTGCTCATTTGGTGTGCAGGAAAGGCAGGAGGGGATGGGAAACGTTGCTGTTCTTTCAAACCCAGAAATGGCGATAATATATACATGCACTGGCGGCCCCCGCATACTTCTAGTGATGCATCAGTCGACTAAGAGGACATAGAAGCCATTCCATACACCAGGGCTTTTTGAAGGTAGCTGCTACACAACAAAGATGGTTCAAGTCAGGGACTCCTTCACGTGGTACCCTGTACAGGGTGGATTGATATATGTCCCTAATCCCTAATTGTGTATAGACAAGCTGTCGGAATCCATTTATACGCTTTACCATCTTCTAGATGCATCTATAAACACTACTTGCAAGACTGTTGAAAAAGCTATATCGGCTATCATTTTGTCACCGCTCGTTGAAAAAAATCGAACCGGGAACGGTGTTGCTATTTGTGATGTACTTCCCCAGAACATAGATGCAAGCAGATTGAATTTACAGATTCAAGGTTACGGAGGTCCCAGTCTACATGGGATTGGCCCTGATTCTTCGCGTGCGTTGAGCCCTCGTGGGGATTCTGCAGGGATCCAACTGCCCACCCCTTGAAGAGCTCTTCATCGACTTTTCTGATATGTTGATTCGGATTGCAAGAGGACAACTGAATGGGGGTTTGCCCCATTGGAGAACTGGAAAATTCCAAAAAAGAAGCTACATGTACAGCTCCTACAACATACCGTACTACTCTAGCCCTGGCCAAGTGTCCAAAGTGGATCGATTAGACTACTCCGCTAAAAATCAAGATTAACCAATCAAACCGAAGAATCTATACTCGTGTGTGGGCCCCCAATCAATAGCAGTCGCTTGGATAGCCTCACTGCCCTTACATTCCCGGGAGGCGAATCAAACGACCCACAAGCTAAGACCCAAATGTGCGCAATAATGGATCAACAAAAGAATTTGCCATCGAATCCGACAATACGCCCCCTCCAAACACACATAGAAGTACCCCAATGCACCCACCATGTCCGAAGTCGTATATATCACCACTGAACCCTCAGACCGGATTCAAGTAAAAGGAATCACCCAGACCCCTGATTTGATCCACCCACAGCTAATTGAAAGCGTCGACGCGATCAAAGGCCGCCAATTCCGCGTTTCCGGTCCCATCCCCAAAGGCGCCTGTCTCCTCATCGACTCCCCCTACGCAATCATCCCCGTCGTCGACGAACCCGCCCACAACGACAATCTCATCTGCAGCAATCCCGCTTGTAACCGGCAAGCACCCCGCCACATCCGGACTCCATGTCCGAATGCCTGTATCCCAGATGTGACGTGGTGCGACAGCACATGTCGCGACGCTGACAGTCTCCGACATGGGTTTGAATGCGCTTGGCTCAAACGGTATGCGGGGACTATTCGGTCTAAATGGAGTGAATATGACTTTGGCATGCTGTGGGTGATTGTTCGATTGCTTGCTGCGCGACATTGTCAGTTGCATGAGGTCGGTGTTGCCGAGTCGACGGGGCATTGGAAGCCTGGATGGAGTGGTATTGAATCGCTTTGTGGTTCTGAGGAGACTTGGCCCCATGACAAGGTCCGATCATGGTCTGTTCTTGTGAAGAAGTATCTTAGGAGTAGTCCTGCTCTTCCGCATGAGATGACTGCCGATCGTGTTCTTCATCTCATTTGTCAAGAAGAGGCAAACTCCTTTGGTCTTTACCCACGAGAAACAGGCCATTTCCCCGTACCGAACCCTCCTGTCGATCGAGGAGAGCAATTCGCGGCTGCTGTTTACCCCACCGCGGCAATGGCTAATCATTCATGTCTGCCAAATGTAAGTAGAACTCTTATCCGGTGGACAAATGTATGAAAGTGATGCTAATTCATCACCAGATCATCCATAAAGCCGACGACAAGGGACGGATGGTCTTTACCGCCTCCCGTGACATTTATCCGGGCGAGGAGTGTTGCATCTCGTATTTCGACCTCACCCAATATTCGGATCTAACTTCACGTCGCGAGCATCTTCGAAAATCGTTTCGTTTCGTGTGTCAGTGTGAACGATGTACCTCTGAAGAGTCTGACAATCCAGTAGAATGGACTGAAATGCCAATGATGGATTTGTGAGAATCGCTGACTACATAATGACTAGATCTAAAAGAAACTTACTACATAGCACTATACCACAATACAACGTATGATTGAATTGGATTTAACACGCACCTGTGTTATCCTCTAAATACAAGACACAATGCTTGCAAGTCAATTGTTCTCTTTTGATCTACTCGTCCCATTGCGCAAAGGGCACTAGTTCCGAATCCCAAGCCCTTAGCAATGACAGCCATATCCTCCCAACCAAAACCCCAATCCCAATCCCAAAGCATATCTACTATTCGAAAGAGAGAGCCAAAAAAAAAACATTCAAACAAAGAGACCCCAATCACAAATCTCCAATCTCCCAACTAAAGCTCCGATAGTCTCCTCTGCAACAACCTCTTCAAGCGACAACCCCCTAGGATTCCCACTCTTATCAAACTCCTCATGAGGCACATTGAAGAAGACCAACAGATCCGTCTCCTGTGCCTCCAGCCTAACAAGTAAGAAATGACACGTCAACCTCGAAACCTGCGGCAAGCCACTAGGTACCGCATTCGTTTGCACACCCAATACCCCTGCATCCGCAACACCAGCTGCTGACCCGTCAGCAGAGGCAGGGACACGTCCACCACTGCCGCGCACCGGCGTCGTGAATGAGACAACGCCGCGATACGCCTTGATAGCGGAAGCCGGGGTCGGCGAGGACGAAGCGAGCTGAACTTCGACGCGCGTGGGCGACTTGATTACCTGCATGGTGTCGCCTTCGTCGCAGAGATCGTGCAGGTGGTACAGGGCAGCGGCTTGGTCGACTGTTTCTGCCGTTGCGGACGCTGCGCTACCGCTGCCTGGGGCGGCGGTGGGTTGGTGGTGGTTGAGCGCAGCGAAGGTGTGTAGAGCTTCGGCTTGGGGAACGCGCTGGTTGATTTCGATGATTAGGTTGGAGAGGGTTGTTGGTGAGAGCCATAGCTCTTGGTGGTCCGGGACCTCGCGGAGGGTGCTGGGATGGAGTGTTAGTCTAGGGGCTATGTTTGATTGGGATATTCGAAAATGGGATTGGGCATGGATTAAAGGGATTGGGTGGGACATTGATGCATAGGAGAGTTATATATACTAACCTCGAATCGATCCAACCTTGTGGCACGACGCCTCGAATGGCTCCGCCAAAGAAGTCTTGCTCTGTGAATGGAGACATGTTGGTCTTGATTGTAAGACGGAGGATTTAGGTGTTTTTTTCTTTCTTTCTCCTTCCTTTTTGAAAAGTTTTTTTTTGCTGGTTGTGAAAGAGCAAATCCAAATTCTTCGAGATCAATTGCGGATTTTTTCACCGGACCTTTTTTTCTGGCTTGACAACAATCGAGACGAAGACAATTACGTTGGAAAAGAACAGATGAACAGGGAATATGTATTTCCAGAATCAAGAATCCTCCCAGGTAGACGAGCAGACGTGCACGAGGAAGTGCGGGCGGGTGTTTTCCGCCCGATGACGTTTGGCAGTTGGGCGGTTTGGCGGGGTGTTGACTCAATATACAATTTACGACTACAAACCATATTCAGCGATTTTGGAGTCGGAATCTTACACTGTTTTGAGTCACGATAGTCCAAAAATCTATCCGTATTTCATTGAGAATTCAAATGGAAAAGCATATCTCCGTCATTGAGAGCGGAGCCGAGCCATTTACTCAAAAAGTTCCTCCAGGTAACGGTCCAGCTCAACCAGCTTGAACTGGTCTCCCCACCGAGTCCGGAACTCCTTCTTTCGGTATGCGTAGCTTGTGCCCTGCGAAAAGCTGACAAGCTCAATGTTCCAATCACGCTGCAGCCCGCGCTCGACCATCTTCATGAAACCGCCGGAAAACTCAGCTACTGCTGCATCCCCTGTTGCCAAAACAATTGTCGCCGGGTGTTCCGTATCCAATATGCTCTCCAAGATCTTCAGGTGTAGAATTTCGTCCACACCCTGCTCGACCCATCGCTCTCCAGAGATAGCGACCGTTTCAGGACCGCTCGATGCACCCTGCGAGCTGAAACCATGGTTTCTCCAGGACTTGTTATTGCGACGGGGTGTGACGGTCTTCACTTTGTGAACACGTTCAAGAATACTCGCTTCATAGCCGAGTTTCTCAGCTTCATCGACTGAGGGAAGACGATCCGAGCCAACTAAGACTCTCTTGGCGGTCTGGCGGCCGCGTTCCATGATCAATGCGAGATTGGCGAAGGACATATGGACACGACGAATCCGGGTTGAAAGTGGGATATTTCGCGAGGTTTTCACCAAATCGTGAAATCCGACCATGATCTGAGATAATTAGTGGGAGAAGGAATTAGGCAGAGGAACCAAAACACACGTTTGATAAGTCAACAAAGACATGAATAGGACGTGAGCCAATGCCCTCGCTGGGACGACGGTCCAAAGTCAGTCCCATTTGAGACACGACTTGAGCGTAGTCAGGAAAATGGCCGAGGAGTCGGCTCATCAATGTGACTCTTCGCTCAGCAGCAGATTTATGCAGGGTAGACCGCACACGAGTACCTCCAGAAGAAATTCCTTGTAAGGTGTCGGCATTCAGAATCCAATCATTATCCTCGAATGATGACGGTGGGGTATCGCAACGGCGACTCTTCCCATCAGGCGTGCCGACTTGAGATGGGACCAATTGAATGGCCACAGATTTCTCAGAAATCGGATGATCAAATACAACGCTTGTGTCCGAGTCCAGTCCAGCGCTTTCTTCAGAGGTAATTGGATAGTTGCGCGTGTTCCTTCGGAAACCTTTTCCACGAGACGGGGACTTTAATTTTGATTTTGCCGTCGGAGTATCGCCTGGACCACCGACTCTGGTTCTAGTAATCACCTCCGGGGGTGTTCGTGGAATACCAAATTTCACATTGGCACTCGCTCCAGAAGGCCCCTGAGCAGAGGACCGCTTCAGGATAGTAAATGATTGACCCCCAAAATCAGAAGTAATACCTGTCGCTTGCAATTTTAAGTGGGAAGAATAGGAGGTATAGCCAGTGGCAGTGTCCTCGGGGACCCGAGGATTTGGCTCATTGATGATACAAAAGCTATTAGATGAAACGTGAACAGATGACTCGATGCCAAAGAGGCCAGAGAACGTGACCTTTTTGGCGAGTCTTTCCACTGAGCTAGAAAATTGTTCTTCAAGTGATGACTGAGCTTTGTTCTGCTCAGACTTGGTGGTCTTTGTGGCCCCTACGGTTGGGGTGACGCTCGCAGGAGCTGGGGTCCCGTTAAAAAGCTCCCAAAGACAACCAAAGTCACCAAGCTTCGGGTTACTCCGCCGAGATATTAGTTCCACGAGACCGCCATTAGTGGTGTATCGGGGATCATCTTTGGCTTGTCGTTCATTGAGCGAGGAGATTGTAGATTCATTGTGACGACTAGGTCTCGCAGTGCAGCCATCAATAGGCGACCGCAGTAGGTCATGCACTAGAGTGAAGTCCCAATTTGAAGGGATAGAAGAATCCGATACAGTCATTGACAGCTAGATGAGACAAGATAGAACGTATGTGTAACAGGTTCATGTGTTGGGTTTAGAAGGTAGCAAATCAAAGAACGTTGAATTCAAAGCCTTGTCACTGAGATAACGATCGGGTAAATAATCACAGAGAATGAGACAATAATGCATGAAGGAGGACGAATCTCATCCACATAGTGAGTCAGAACGAAAGGATGGGAAATGAAAGCAAAGCGGAGATGGACGATTACAGTTGATGCCCGAGCAGGTGACGAAGGCGGTGAATTGTTCTGTCAGGTCTCGTTGACCGCCTGTCGCCGTTTGTTCCCAATTAGGCTTAGTAGTCTCAAGACGGTCTAACAGTGACGCACGTGACACTCTAGTCTTGAGCCTTGGTATGATGTCATCTCTAAGAACATCGAGCAAATCGAGAACACCACCGGGTGCCACAGCTTGTGTTGAAATGTGCTCGGCAGCTGGGCTATAGGAACTACACTGATTGGAGGAATAACTGTTCTTATTTAGAGGTTATGGTTCGTCCAAAGTCCCGGCCCAAATAGATTTGCCTCCACAGTGCCCCCAATTTCAGGTTATAGGTAGAAAAGTCCATTTCACAAATTAAACCTCGTTCTGATTTTTCCTGCTGTCTATCGATGAAACTGACAATGAGGACAGAATGTCTTTAGAAGAAAGACTTGTAAAAGACTACCAAAAAGATATCACAAGGTCGCAGACGCAGCCGACTCGTCTGCGACCTACTATTCTTGTGAATGAACCAAGTCAATCATGATAGCAAACAGAAACAACTAATGTAAGCTCTCTTCATAAGATTGTAAGGACAAACAAATCTATATAAACCCCTCTCTTTCCCTCTTTGGCTGTTCTTCCTTCAACGTCTTCTACCTCAACCAAGCTACACAGTTTACTTCTACTTTCAACCATCAAATTTCAATCAATCTTCATCATGTCTGACGCCGCTCGCAAGGATTTTACCACCAGTATGTGACACTGCTTTACCTGACTGTGAAGTTGTCCAGACATCGTTGCTGACCACTTCTTTCGATAGAGGCCAAGGAGGAGCTCACTCCTGACTCCACCAAGTCCACCCAGGACAAGATCAAGGAGACTGCCACCGACACCACTGACCGTGCTACCCGTGGTTTGCAGACCGATGATAGCAAGGGTGTTGGCCAGGAGGCTTTCGACAAGACCCAGCGTGCCAGTGACAACCATGGCCACGGTGGTGCCACCGGTTCCATGTAAGTTGCTCTATCCTTGGAAGCCGAGAGTGATGTTCTAATCATACCTCCAGTGGCGACAAGGTCAAGGGTGCTCTCGGCCTCGGCGGGAACTAAGATGGTCTCCCTTACGTGAATGACCGTGATTATGGTCATTCTATGACTTCGGGCTGCCCTGCACTCAAGACTCACGAATTCACGATACCGTTTGCTTTTCTTTTTTTATTAGCCAGGGGACCTGCTCTTTGAATCCATAACCATTTCAAGTCAAAGAACTTCATTCATCATGTAGACCAAACGTAGAAGGAGAGCTGGCTTTAATACCGCTCGCTTATACTTTCAACGAGTGAATCTCGTTGTCGCTTAAGCTGTCCAAGCTCACGCTCTAGTTCTTTATACTTTGTCCGTGCCCCTGGGGTATCCTTGGGAAGATCGTAGAACGCCCTTACACGGCCTTGCAGGGCCTTCACCGTCTCCCGCATTCTGAGAACGTTTTCTTCCTCCGCTATCAGCTCCTCAATAGTCGGTCCCCGGGGCTGGACCTTTTCTAGTGATGCAATGCGATCTTGGTACTCCCCGACCTTGATCGCAAGTGTCTTCGTGCCGCGTGTCCACTCTAACGTCAAGCTTTGTGTATCAGAAGGTGTCTCATACGCCACATCGGTCCTCAATTCGTCCAGCTCCGTCTGTAGCCGTGCCAGTTCTCGCTGAAGGTACTGATGTAATGTGTCGATTTTGGCAACTTGTTCCTGGGCCTCGAACTCCTCCACCGTGAGCTCCACAATCGACTGCCCCAGATCTCCCGGGGTCGGATTTAAGGTATTGCCCAGAGCTGCGGCGGAGTCAGCGAGGTCCTCTAGGTCGCGTTTCCCTATATCATCCAAACACATCTCGACGTCATCAAGAAGTTGGTTCTTCTGTTGTTCGTGGGGATCTTTGCGTTCGAACTCTTCCCGTGTTTTGTATGCATCAATGGCATCTTCGCGCGCACAATGTTGTAGAGTGGATTCTTCATCTGCAGCATCGTTGGCTGCAGCTAGGGTCAGGAGGACGCGGAGGGTATCTTCATTGCGCTCGAACTTGGGGACCGGTTTGGGCGCGTATTGTCGATTGAGCCAGGAGTTCACGTACGCCCAATCTTTAGCTTGGATAGCAGCCTGGCGGGCCTTAGCTGGTGAAACGAGTGGACTATCCATGGGATCGAGTGTCAATGCAATTCCAAAGATGAAATGAATTGTGACAGACAAGGAGGGGAACATAAACACATCAAGAGCAATGTGTTGACGATAAGATACGGGGAAGGCGGTCGATGCGCCAAGTGCGAGGTTGTCCTCTACAACTTATTTCCCCTCGCCGACACCTCCGTTGGCTTGCCCGAACAACAATGACTAGCTACTTTCCACCGAGTGGCAGTGCCAATAATGGCGCCAATACGCCGACCGTATCGTCTCCATTCTCCCCGCCGTTGCAGCGCCCGACCGCCCTCACCAATCGGTTGACAACGGTTCTGTCGGCATCGTATGCGGACTCGGACATTCGGGACTCCCTCGAGACTTTGAGCATGAGGGGCATTCAAAACACTGCAGAGACACGCCGGCAACTACGACTAGATGTGCAAAAGGAAGTTGTCGATTGCAATGCGGAGATTGTCAAGGACTTTGGGAAGGTCGCAGAGGTGAGACTTGTGTTGCTCCTTTAGTGATTGGGGATCCGGAAATCTAATTCCTGAATGACAATAACAGCAATTGAGACGGATCGGATCGGTAGTGTCAGCACTGAATCAGACTTGTGACGAAATGCGCAAACGAATCAACCTCGCAAAGCAGGATACCACGCCGGTACTCGAGGAGGCCAGCGCCCTGATGACACAGAAGAAAGAGACCGAGACCAAACAACAGCTGTTGGAAGCCGTTTCGAAACATTTCGTGGTTCCGGAAGAGGATTTGTTGGTTCTGACCTCGGCTGAGGAGCCGGTTGACGAGCGGTTCTTTGACGTGCTAGCTCGTGTCAAGCAAGTCCACCACGATTGCGAAGTCTTGCTCGGCGGCGAGAATCAGCGACTGGGCCTGGAGGTTATGGAATTGAGCACCCGGAACCTCAATTCAGCATATCAGAAACTATACCGATGGGTTCAGAAGGAATTCAGGTCCCTGAACCTAGAGGACCCTCGCATCAGCAGTACGATTCGCCGCGCTCTACGGGTGCTGGCAGAACGCCCGAGTCTATTCCACAGCTGCTTGGATTTTTTTGCGGAGGCACGAGACTATGTACTATCCGATGCTTTCCACTATGCACTGACTGACGCTGTTTCGGGGGCCAATGGGCCCGGTGCCGGTGATCACACTGTCAAACCGATTGAGTTCTCGGCGCATGACCCACTTCGATACATTGGTGACATGCTTGCGTGGGTACACTCTACAACCGTCTCAGAACGGGAAGCTCTCGAGGCGCTATTTGTTGATGACGGGGACGAACTCGCTCGGGGGATTGAGGCTGGCATGAGTAGCGAGCCCTGGTCGCGCATCGACGAGGACCAGGAAGTTGCTTATGATGGCCAAAAGGCACTCAGTGACTTGGTCAACCGCGATCTCACTGGAGTATCTCGATCACTGCGGCAGAGAGTAGAGCTCGTCATTCAGAGCCACGAGGACCCTGTCACTTGTTACAAGGTGGTAAACCTGTTGTCTTTCTATCGTACAACCTTCACCAAACTAGTCGGTGTACAATCGCACTTGGTGGACCTGATCCAGAGCTTGGAAAAGTTCACTCTTGGCCACTTTGAAACTCTGATGCGCGACCAGACCAGTGCCTTGGCCGGCGACAATGTTGCCCTGACTCCACCAGCCGACCTGTCTCCCCCACAGTTCTTTTTAGATGCATTGGAAGGCCTGGAAGTACTCATGAAGACATATGAGGCTTCTGTCGGACCTGAAGATTCATCTCCAGATGCAAACACCGAGAACCCATTTACTTCTGTCCTCCGAGCCGCCTTTGATCCATTCTTGGCACTAGCCCGGTCCTCATCTGATGAATTACAGACCACCACAGCGCAGTCCATCTACCGCGCCAATCTTCTCCTTGCAGCCCGCGCAGCTGTGTCACCATTCCCCTTCGCCAGCTCTACACACATACCTCCCATTTCTTCAGCCTTATCAACCTTACGCAGTGATCTTCTCGGCACCCAACACCAATTCCTCCTCGAGACCTCTGGCCTAGAGACGCTTTTAAAGGCCCTAGAGCCCTTCTCAGATACCACCGAAGACAAGACGGAGAAGCCCCATCTAGCCGACCTGGCCAGTCTCCCGGCTTTCCAACCAAGATCCTTAATTACATCCAGCCAACAGCTCGACGACTTCCTCCCATCTGCGCTTATGGACGCAACCGATAACCTAAAGCGTATCCAAAGTCTCTCCCTTATTCAGAGCATCACCGAGGATGCTGTTGAAGCCTTCTGCCGTGATTTCGAGTTTGTCGAAGGCATGATCATAGCCGCCGACGAGGCGCGAGGAACTGTGCATGTGGCCTTTGGAACCAGGAGCAGTGTTAGTGGCCAGAGTGGTAACTCCGATGGCAAGATAGAAGAGGGCGAGGACGAAAAATGGAGTTTGAGATCCTTGTTCCCTCGAACAACAGGGGAGATAAGAGTGTTGTTGAGTTAATTCAGGTATTCCTTGTTCGGTTCCAAGCTCTATACTTAATTTCTATCTCAATGTACAATGAAAAAAAAAAGCCAACCTACAACCACTCCCCATCACCCCAATTTAGGGGCGTTTTAAGCTTCGCACTAAAAGTGCTTGGCTGTGATGTGTACTGGGGATCCTATCAGGATGCAGGCAGATGTACTTTCCACTGGAAATCCCTCGGTCTTTGGCCGAGCCGCAATCTGCGTGTATCTTTAGCATGTAAGACACTACATCATTCACCCAACTCTAGGCGTGGAGGCTTATTATGATAATTACAAATTCCTATGCTCACCTGATCCTAGGTGTTTACACACACTCTCTCTATCCTTCTCCACTAGTTCCGGCGTAGCGAGGTATTCTGAGATGGGGATTGAGCTCGCTTCCGTCTTTTACCTTTGAAATTTGAGATTTTCTACGCGGGGAATAGCTTCAATTTCTCAAAGGGAGACGCTTAAATCTAGATCCAACACACACATTTGTCTACTTAGACATACCCGGCCAAGCCCAGATGCCAGAGAGACAAGGAACAGAGTTCTGAAGGAAAAAAAAAAAAACAACGGAAAAGAAGAATCGACATTCCATTCCTATAATCATATCGAACATATAAGATCCCCACAGACAAGGAGGATAGAAGGGTAACCCAAGAGGCAGTCAAATTAAGACAGAGCAGAACCACAAAGTCCAAGATGAGTAAATCCAAATCTACTCTATCCGCCTCGCTCGCCGAATTCTCTCGCCCAATCTTCATATTTCCGAAGTCCGTCGTGGGATACACTAGGCCGAATGGAATACAAACTGGCTTCGAAGTCCTGGAAGATAATGGCACGGATCTGGTCCATGGGTGTATGTAGGAGGGCCTCACCCAGATTGCGCAGGGGGCCCATAGCCGCATCTTTGGCGAGGGCTGTGATATCTGAACCGGAGAAGCCTAGGAATGTCACTTAGAAAGACGAACTAGACCAAAAAAAAAGAGATACGCGGGAAAACCATACCTTCTGTCACCTGTACCAGGACCTGGATATCAGCATCGCTCAGCTCGTGGTGCTGGTGACTGATAAGCTTGCGGATTTGCTGCTCGCGGACATGATGTTCGGGCAAGGGAATATACTGGCGGCGGACGAAGCGACGACGTGCAGCCTCATCGATATCCCATGGCATATTGGTAGCCGCTAAGACGAGTACACGACTAGCATCGCCTTCCTTTTTCTCGCGGTTTGTTTGTTCACGGCCTGCAGCTGCGCGCTGCAGATCAGACCATTGAACCAGAAATTCAGTCTTGGAGCGACGGGAGGCCTCGTGCTCTGAACCGGACGATCGGGCAGAGAGAAGGGAATCAATTTCGTCGACGAAGATGATGGATGGAGCAAGAGCTTTGGCTAGCCCGAAGAGGGCGCGTACGAGCTTCTCGCTTTCGCCGTGCCATTTGGATGTTAAACTTGAGGCAGAGATAGAGAAGAAGGTTGATTTTGATTCTGTGGCTACTGCTCGTGCGAGCATGGTTTTGCCCGTACCTGGGGGGCCGAAGAGGAGCATTCCGCGAGCCGGTTCGCGGAGACCAGAGAAGAGATCTGGGCGGAGGAATGGGTAGACGACGGCTTCTTTGAGAGCCTTTTTAGCTCCTTCTAAGCCTGCTATGTCATCCCAATGTACTTCGTCACCGCGCACTACGATGTCGTTCAGAATTTGCTTTGCTGATTGGGGATCCACACCCCTGGGCAATTTTTCCATAATTTTCGAGATTTCACTGTCTTCTTCATCATCTTCGTCCTCTGCGTCGCTTGCTGCGGTCCGCTGATCTGAAGAGTCTGGGTCGCTTGATAATGGTGTTGGGGTCTCTTGCCGGTTGACTGGTGGAGCTTTTCGCCGTATTGCACTTTCGCTATTTCCTTGAGATATAGCCAGACGGTCGACACCGCGATGTAAATCGTCACCGATAGCGGATGATGGAGAGGCGCGGGCCGTTTCGTCAATTCTTGGGGGTCTAGGCGCAGATGTTATCCGTGGCACGTTGTTGGAAGGATCTACTTCCTGGTCAAGCCGAGGCGTCAGACTCCGCGAAGAATTCTCGGACTTTGTGGCTTGCATTGGGTGGCTCGTTGGTTGGGAAGATCGCAAGGCCACAGGCTTAGGTTTTATGGATGGTCTAGGTGGCGGTGCAAAGTCGGCCGGGTTCGGCATTGACATTGAATTAGGAGCATGTTGTATTTTAGGGCTTTCAGGTGGAGGTGGAGGCCCCCGCGGCGGCAGTGGACTAGGCGACTGAATAGACGGTCTGGGCGAGGATCTCTTTGGAGACGACCGAGGAGGCTCTCGCCAGTGGGCGGCAGGAATTCGCTCCCCGGATACATGGTCTCGGGAAACACGAATTCTCGGCTGCGGGCGCTCGTCTCCAGTACTAGATCTTGGTTCTGCCTCTCGGCGAAAACTGACATCGTGAGCGGCGCTTTGTCGGGATGAGGCCAGAGCTGCAACGCGCACAGGCTTGTCACCCGATGCAGAGCGATAGATGCTACCCCATGCTAGGCCTGCAGCCGTGGAGGCAGCAGGTCTCGAATCCTTCTTCTTTGATGCAGCTTTGACTTTCTTACCATTGTTCTTGCCGTCACTGCTGCGTAGAGTTGTCAACATGGGTTTCCGGCGCTCGGGGCTGGAGCCACGCGATCTTGTTTTGCCCGAAGAGTTCGAGTGCACACGCAGTGCGGGCGTACCAGCCGCTGAAAGAGTCGCTGGACCAGCATCGTCGTAAATTGGCGGTAAATCATAACTTTGTTTCGTAGACAGCATAGGTCGACCGGGTATGGCGGCCGGTTTGGACAGGTCGGTGTATCCCACGGCAGGGATTGTTCCATCTCCGATCCAGCCAGGAGTGTTGGAAGACGATGGCGGCGGTATGCTAGGGATTGACTTGCCCTTGAAAAGAGTGGCGCTCTCTTTACTACCATATGCTTTGCTTCCGTTCGCCTCGGTGGATTCCTTCCTGCTTGCTTGGAGAGCGCCTAGTAGGTCGACCCGTTCTCGGCATTGAACCTCTAGCGCCCGGATGGAGTCCTGCAAGGCCCTCTCGGTTTCAGATTTCGGGGTATAATTTGGGGGTACACGACGGGCATTGTGATGGTAAATGGTCTCAAGGGCAGATCGCCAGGACCGCAATGCTTCCTCTTCGTTGTTCTAGTATTGTGAGCCTCAGGAAACGGGTGTCAAACTCTCAGACTGACCTGGCCCTCAAAGTACACGGCGGTGGAGCACGCGAGATAGCACTCGTCGTACGTCTTCTGCAAGGAAGACGCAGGCCGTGGGCGCATCATTAGGAATTTACAAGCCCGCCTGTATCCATCTCACGACAAGTTGATGGGGTTGGTGTAAGCGATAATCTCCCGTAGATGGAGGGGGGAGGATTTTTCGCGTGACGTCGTCGATTCGGGAGCTGCTGCATGCGTCCAATGAAGATGTACACAGTAGCATTTTTATTTGAAACAATCAAAATGGCAACCTCAGATATCATCTCTAAATTCCTCACGTCTATGGGTACATGCAAGATCCTAAAAAGAAAACAAAAGTAATGTTATAGTGATGCCACAGAGAACCCAGCCCTCTCAAGAAACCAAAAATAAAAAAAAACCGAGAGATTTTTTTTCCAACGCCAGTCGCAGTATAGGACACATCGAATGGAAGAGAGCATCAAAGAATCCAAAGAGAAGAAAAAAAAAACACAAGCACCAGATTTAATCTCCGAAGTCGAAAGTGGCCGTGTCCCGCTTTTCCCAAAACTATACATTGCCGAAACGCTTCTCACAAAAAGGTCTAAACATGCAAGAAGATCGAAACACGGGCTCTGCTAGCCCGAGATGCGCCATAATGAGGGTTGCTGGGCTCTGCCCAACTCCCAAATCCTGAACATGTCGTAAAAGAACAGACCGATATCGCCCGAAGAGATCAAAGAAAGATTATATGGTGCCCCCACAAGTGTGGTATATCGAACAAGTCACAGGTCCCTTGGGAATGGTCGGTAGGCCTCATGGCGAGTTGCCATGCGAGAGGATCAAGTCAGGGTTCTTTCAGTCGAGGTGCTTCTTGAAGTATGCCTTAGCCATCTCATATGATGTCCTGACAAAAGAAAGTCAGTCAATGTCAGATCAAATGTCGAGAGCGTCGAGTCTCGGAATAGGACTTACCAGCAAATTGCAGTGCTCGGCATGGTGGAAATTATCCGAGGGCGCATGCCACGCAGGAAGCCAGACCAGCCGAATCGGCGCTTGATGATGGCAGCGGCGTTGAACAGACCCTTTGCAGACCGCACCTCTTCGCTCTCTGCGAGGCCACGGGTCTGAAGGAGCGTCTTCACAACGTCAAGGGGAGTGGTAAGACCAGCTGCGAAGGCACCGGCCAGACCACCTGCGATGCAGTGGGTGAAGGGGTCATATTCATTCTTGGGGTTCATAATCTTCGAGATCGACTCGTAGGCCACAAATTGAGTGGCCGTGAAGGGCACGGTCATGCAAAGTGTCGTAGGGTAGGAGACGTAGAAGGCTTGGAGGCCTTCGGTGCGGTAAACGGTCTTGGCGCACTGCGCCAGGGTCTTGTGAACTGATCCGTGGACTTGCATACGTTGCTTCATCACTGTCGAGCGAGTTAGCCGGGCGTGATTGATTGTGTCGTACGAGTCACATACCATCAAATGGGTTCATCAGCGCATCGCTTGCAATGGTCGCGGCTGCTCCACTCATAGCTGCGAGAATCACGTCAGCTGTGGCACAGAGAAATCCATTCGCAGTTCAGAAAAACTAACCGGCAGCCAAGGGGTGATGTCCATCGTCAACATTACCACCAGCCATTTCCTTCACGATCTCATATGTACCGAAGTAGACTGCGTGGGCGGGACCTGTCGTCGCGAATCAGAATTGAGTCTTGAACTCAGGACTTTTTCGCAATATACACACCTGCGCCGACAATCACACTCGAGACTCCCTTCCATAGTGTCCGCCACCCCTCAACTCGATAGATAGTAGAGACCGCGTTGGTCAATCCGGTGTAGAGACCACCAGTTGAAGGGGTCAAGATTTGCATGCGAGTCTAACGACGGTCAACTAGTCAGCGCTCAATTCGTTTTTTCTCCCTAATTCCAATGCCTTGAACCAAGAGCCAAGCTTACCTTGAGCAAGTCAACCGGGTACATCACGGAGTGTTCCTTTTGTTTGATCAGCCAAAAATTCTCACATACACTGCTTATATCTATAAACATACCGCTACCCCCGCAAACGCACCAGCAAGCATATTCCGGCTGAGGCCATAGTTGGAAGGAAGGGCTTCATAGCTAGAATAGGGTGCATCGCATTAGCTTAGGCCACGAAATCGAAACCCGCAGAGCGACAACAAGGCGAACAAGATAGTCAGGATGCTCAACAAGGACAATCACGCAGTAGCTACAACGCATTATATCCCCAGAAAATACAAGGGTGTTTGTCCATGTGTTCATCCCAGCAATCCGGGTGTCCAATTGCCTAGGGAAAAAAAAATCCATCAGAGAGCGACATACTCGAATTCCTCTCCGGGTATCTGATCGGGAGCCGCCATAGAGCTTCCGCTAGCTCAAGGCGCAGCTGTAGTAGGTAAAGAGTTCGTGCAGAGAGGAAGGAAGGTTGACTGTGGCGGAGGTGGAGGAATGGAAAAAGTGAAGATGAGATCAACGGGGATTGGAGTTGGAGATCCCGGGGAGACAGGCACAACACCAACAACAGAATTTAAAAAAAAAAAGAACGATCAGCCAACTAAATTGGGAGAATAAATGAGGAAATTAAATGAAGAAGGAAAAGAAGACTGCTTTTTATTTCTTTTGAACGAAATAGCCTGGAGAGGAAAGATTGGAAATTTGGGTGTTTTGGACGCCAACCCGGAAAACGGCGCTAGGGAAATTATTCACGGACTTGCCCAGGTCAATGTTGTGTATTCTACGACTCTATACCCAGTCAACTCTGATTTCGGTTCATTTAATCAGAGACTGTTTTCAACTGATCCTTATTCTATGTAGCTTATTCTTCCTTCCTCAACCCTTTTTTTTCAATCAAAAAAAAAACTCCCTTTGCCCTGGAGAATGTGTGCTTATTCAGATTCGGCGGCTAGACCCTTCATGCCTCGGAGCTAACAGTGGGATATAATAAGAAAGGCCCAACTACACTGTAATTTGTCAACCGTAAAAGCTCCAGACAATACCAACACCTGTGTACAACATACGGAGTACGGAGTAGCGCCAAACGCTTTACAAGTACCAATACACATGTAGATCATCTCCGAAACATCCGATGGCGGAAATCCCAGCACCATGGTTTTATGTAAAGTACCGGTTGTGTACCTTTACACTGCTGCTACCACAATAAAGGTACATAGCCGGTACCCCCTGATTTTATCAATCAGATAAGACCGCCCCCTAAAAAAGCGGTCGTTCGCCCTTGTCCACATTTCGCCTAACTCATGTTATTCGAGTGGAGCTTGGTCTTGGTCATCCGGAAGGTTCTATTTTTTTTTTATTTTTGTAATTTTTTTTATTTTTTTCTTAGAAATCCTTATTCACATCACCCATTTATAGATGCATACGTGTACACCTTGTTTATCATGATATCTCTCGTTGCTAACCTTGCTTTTTGGGTTAAGAAAGTTGGGAAGCACAAAGCAAAAAGCAGAACACGCAGTTTTTCACTGGGCATGCCCGAGGTGGAACTCCACGAAATCAACTCAGTCTACTCCGTACTCGGTACTCCGTATTTTGACTCGGATTCTGCAAGGGCCCCGTATTTCTCAAAAAAATGAAAACTCTTACACCTAACTCCACAGTCAAGAGGTGGGATCAACGAGGTGTACAACATATCTCAATTTGGGCCGCATGCTATAGAATCACTCTGGATTACATAGGAACGTACATGGACAGAGTCCATGTTCTTCGTCCACTCACTACACAGGAAGGGATGCGTTGAATGGGAAAACTTCACTGCTATCTGCCTGTTGTAGTATCTGAGAATGATCGATTCTGAAAAAAAAAGAAAAAAAGAAAAGAAAAAAGACCGCTGCGCCTGAACTCACGGCATTGAGAAGAGAGAAGACCGAATCTGGGATAAAAACACACCAAAAAGAAAAGCCCTCATCAAATGAGGATACATGCAGGTAATTCGAGTATGCGGGAAACAAAAAAAAGGCTTGTTTCAGCCCTAGAGATGGATATTACCGTTGCTGCTGCAAAGCCAGTCCAAGGGCGATAATCTCAATGGCTTAGTAGTTGAGAGGGGAGAAAAAGGAAAAGGTACGCTGAAACGTCTGGTAAAGAAATGGATGTCGTTCACGTCGTCAAGATCTTGTCCGTGGTCTACGGCAAGCGGAGGGTTAGGGTGGGTTGAAATCACCACTCAATGTTAAACGACCACTCTCCTTTTTTTTTAAAAAAAAGCACGTGTCAGCGATGTAGAGAAAAGACATGTGAAATCCTCCCACTTACCATTCTTCAGGTTCTCGGCAGTGTCACTCAATAGAATCACCCGGCGCTTGTTGCAATACGCAGTCTTGTCCAGAATGTCAACCTTGAGTCCGGCCAATTCGGCAACCGGCTTCTCAAACATCTCGCTGAGACTCTCAACGGCCATCTCCAAATCCTTCTGGTTATCCTCAAAGATCTCAGTCAAATTGTTGCGAGCAAGGTAAAATGCAAACGCATAAGTCCACTTCAAGGTCTGGCGGCATTGCTGTAGGGCTTGCGACGCGGTATCCAAGAACTGCACCTCAATCCAGGATAGGCCAGACTGCGACTGAAGACTAGTCATCTTCTTCTCCGTCTTCAGGTACAAGTCCTTGTCGAGCTTGGCAGACTGCTCATGATTCGCATATCGATTATAGTAATGCAGGTAGCGTTCCAAGGAGGAACGCGATTTGGCTTGAGCATTGCGCGCGTCGGCGCCTGACTTTTCCTCGTACCGGTTGCAGTTATACCAGCTTGTGCCATGCTCGGACCAGAGGCCCATGCACATCCAGCAGAACTCATACTTGCACTTGCGGCAAGTCATGTGGTTACAGCCGCCGTTCTTTTCGATCGTCGAGTTACACTTAGTACACTCTTTCGTATTTGCCGAGATCCAGTTGGCCGTCTCGGAGTCATCCTCACATTTCTGTAGCCACATCTTGACCAGCGTGCAGGGCGCGGGCTGGTGGTCGCTGAGGGAACAGCCGAAGCAGAATTCGTGCTTACACAAACATCGCACTGTGGGAACGATGCGACGAAGGTCTCGGTTCTTTACCCCACAGTCAATGGCGTATTGACAGTTTGGTGCTGGACACCATTTTAGGTTATCTTTATCGTCAACGTAGGTCCGAGTAAGAAGTTCGCGATATCTGTAGTAATGAAGACGTTAGCAGACACTCCTTTCCAACTAGAAGCAGCCTGTAGAGTTAAAACACGCACCTTCCTTGAAGCTCCCTTGTCACAAGCAGATCCAACGACTTGGAGTCCACGATGCGATTACAGCCATCGCCTGGACACTGGATTCGGCTGGCCTCTCCTTCATCCTTGATTTTCTGCCCCAAGTAGTGCCGATAGCAATCAACACAAAATCGGTGACCACATCGCATGGCATACGTCTCGAGGTCATCATCATCCTCGCAGCAGATGTCGCACATGAAGCCCGGGACACACTCGGTCTGTGGAGTCCCTTCAAAGTTCTGCCCGAGACCAGCCTCCTCCAGCGTCTCCTCCGGATGCTCCATATATGACTCGATCAACTTTTCTTTGTTCCACCGCCCGAACCGCAACAAGATCGCCACGGACTCAGGCGGTAGCCCAAGGATGGCGCAAACCTCGTTGACCTGGCCAAGCTGTTCATGATCGATATCTGGAGGGTTGAGAACCTTGTACTCAACTTCATAGGGCTTCTTTTTATGTTGGATGAGATCCTTATCGTCCGAAAACCCGGCGTCGAGGTCATCGAAGTCTGCTTCCCAAGGCACAGCTTGTAAGTCACCATACTCCAGACGTGAACAGAGACACAAAGTAAACCAACGCAAATATCATACGAACACGCACCTTCACCCAAGCTCTCGTCATCAGAGCCCTGGGTACCCAAGAAATCATCTTGGCTGGAGACATCACTCATGAACTCATCGTCAGAGTCCATACTGGCGGTGGTGGGCGTCGCGGAGAGCCCCCTTTTTGGACCGGAACTGATGGGGCTTTCTCTCTCTGTGGGTTCTGTTGCGGTCGCTATTGATTCGCTTTGGTGGAATCGCCGGTCGGACGCACAAGTGGATTTCCGGGAGCCGTGGGCGGCTTTTGGCAGTGCCTCGTCCGCAATCGCCTCAGCCGCCTTTCTCTTTCGCGTTGTTGGAGGCGTGGTGAACGTAACGGCAAAGATGCCGGCAAAGGGGGAAACTATAAGTAGGAGATCGGGCCAGACGTCACTAAGGTAGAACCTGTGACGGGCACGGATAGAGGGGGGTGGGGAAGCGTAAGATCTCCGGGCTGTTGGCCCCGAAGGCGGCTCGAACCGGTGTTCGAAGGGATCAAGACTTTCGGCTTCGAGATAGGGCGAATCTATACAATTCCGTTGAAATTTGAAAAATAAAAATAAAAAAACAAATGTTACTGGACAAAAAAAATCATTCCTGGATTGGTCAGCTGATGCATTTCCGTGGCCTCTTCCAGCCCATTGACTCAGATGTGAATCATTCCACTTGTTCGCTTCAGTGGCCATGGCCTTGTTTGTCTTTCAAGGCTCCAGGGCTGTAGGCTGTAGGCTGTAGGCTTCCGTGAAGTATAACCTGGAATCACGTTAGGCCTTAAAGGACGATAGTACCTATAATCTGACTTTTCAATTGCAAAGATTCTGATATGTCGTAGGCAGGGAGATACTCAACAACGTTGTATACAGATATGGAAACAACAAACTTTGAATCTCATAGAATTTTTAATAATAACAGGTGGTATCTACTCATCATCACTTTCCTCCTCTGATTCTTCCTCGCTGCTCTCCTCCTCTGCCTCGGCGAGCCAATCAACAAATTGCTGGGTCTGGCTGCGGACAGTCCGCATTTCCTCGGAGTTACTAGAGCGCTCATCATTCCACCACTGTTCATAAGCTTCCTCCTCAATCAGGTCAAGTTCATACAGAGACTTGGCAGTAAAGAGAAGGACAGTATCACCCTTATTTCGATGAATAAGATCCTGTTGGAGGGAGAGCAGTAGATCAACCTGGTCCTTCTTCTGCTCCTTGCTGCGATCGAATAGAGTGCGCTCGATGACCTCCTTGTATGCAGTGAAAACCTCATTGACTGCTGGTCCGGCACCCTTGCCACCCTCCATGAGCTGCTGGATATGCTTCATGAACGATGTCACGATAGCGCGACGGACCTGGTTATCTGAGGCATTGGCGCTCATACGTAGCGTAACCAGCTCAAGCTGCACCACGTCAGCTGCGACGCCTTCACGTAGACTGTCGAACAAGCTGACGGATGCGTCGTGGTGGAAGTTGTCTGCATCTTCATCGGCAGAGAAACTGCTCCGCTCAGATCGTGCCCAAGAGGTGTTCGAGACCTCAGATGACAGTGTGGAAATGGAGGCGGAAGAAAGCGACAGATTAGGCATGCGGTACACTATAGATGGCAAGTAGTTAGTAATCTGGACCCGAGGAGACATGTTCGAAAACAACGTACCAAGTCCCGATGAGGCTACGCTCATGTCGTCATCTTCATCTTCCTCTTCCTCGCCGTGAATAAACTCATAGCCTTCGCCTCCTTCACCAACGACTGCGGGATCGTTCTTGCCTACGCCGCCGTCGTTTCGAGTTTTCGTGATACGTTTCCCACTCTCCACCCAGACGTTGTCCGCAATTTTCACCCCATAGGAGAGAAGCGCACCCGCTGCAACGGCACAATTCTTGCCGATAACCACACCATCGGCGATAATCGCCCCGCGGACGTCTGTGTTATCGCCGATCACGACATCGTCCCAAATGTAGGCACCATCCAGCTTGACATTGCGGCCGATTTTACAGTTTCGACCGAGCACGGAGTTGTGGACTTCTGCGCGGTCTCCAATGCTAGTGCCTTTCCCGATGACTGTGCGGCGTCCAATGACGCAAGAGCGTGCCAGGGTCACCCCGGTTTCCTGGTACATGCTGCCCTTACGAAGTGTGTAGGTGTGGCCAGGGAGTAAATTCGTATCTGGGCACAGGGGGTATGTCCAGCGCGAGAGAATATCCTTGCTTATCGAATCGTAGGCTTTCAGATTGCGCACGCGCGCAGCGTAGTGGTCCTTGATGATGTATGTGTGCAAAGTCTTGCCGTTCAGCTCATAGTCCTTCAAAACACCGAACAGGTAGTGTTTCCGGGGCGATTGGTAATCGAAACTATCCGACCATAAGCTCAGTACGTCCGGGGTGCATATGTCGATGCTGCAGTCGATCAAGTCTTGGCGGATATCCAGTTCGGGGTTTTTAAGAATGATTTCGGCGTCAATATTCAGACGAGCCACTTTATCATCATCTGGATGGCGATCGATTTCCTCGTAGTGGAGACAGCGGTCCTTCGTAGGGTCAATGACGAAAACCGGCGAAACTGAGGTGGACTTGGTCCTGTGCTGCAGGCCAGCTTCCCTGAGAACCATGGTCATGATCGCATTCTTGTCAAGTGCCCGGCGGGCCCGGTGCTCGGCCAATGCACCCTCAATAGGCAGGTTGCTGATCACGTCACCGCTCACGACAATGAAGTCTCCAGTAATAAGGTGCTTGCCGTCCAAATCGCGCATAACGTCACCGACAGAGGTAGAAGTCGACTTGAGGAAGGTAAATTGCTTGAATGGAGAAGACAGGGCCCTCCATTTCGACGCACTAGCAAATATAGGTCAGCATTGCCATCCGTATCAGAGGGAGTCCCTAGAGCAAGCCTACTTGATATATTTCTCAAGCTGATCCGAGTGCGCTCCTGCGTATAGGAAAACCTCCTCTACACCGGCATTGGCCAGAAACTCCAGGGTGTATTCGATTAAGGGAGTATTTGCAAGAGGCAAAAGGCACTGTAATAGTTTCGTACGTTAATTGCGAGGTCTTCGGACATTGATTGTTGGTCGTAGGGAACATACACGAGGCTTGTCACGGGTAAACGGCTCAAATCTCGTCTCGAAGGTATCTGCAAGCACCTAAACAAAGCCACAAGTTAGAGAACATTTAAAACACAGAGAGGACTTCGGCAAGAACAGTCACACAACTGTTGGCCAACTGAGAGACTTACGACAGCTTGGAACGTCTCTTCAACCTCCTCTGCCGCATTGGACTTCGGCTTTTGCCCAGCTTTCTGCTTGGGAGCCATTGCTGCAAGGAGTGTTAGTAACAGATTCTTTATCGCTCCAGACAATCGCAAGAACTAGTTCTCGTGAAGAGCTGGTGGGAATGCGGCAGGGCTTTTTTACGTTAGGTGTGTCAACAACCCGTTGATCCCAAAGTTCGTGAAGGTAAACTGAGAGAGGTCAGAAAGGGTCCTTAGATACTGTCTCCAGAAATAGCACCAAAGAAACGCGACGATCCTGTTATCAAAGAAGCACAAAAAAGCCTCGGAGTCATCCCGCCCACTTGTTTGCATAGTTTGCATCTTGGTCAACTTCGTTGCCTGAGGCAAGAAAGTCCTAGATAGGTTTAGTCTAGAACCTATAGATCACTTGTCCACTAGAACATCTTCACGAGTGAAACCTCAATAATGACCGGTCTGGTTTTATTAAATGAATGCATGTTACCGAATATTGTATGCAGTATCGGGTAAAAATAGTGGTAATCTCATACAGGCCAGGCCAACCCAGATGCCATGATTCTCGAAGGGAGGAACACTCTACATCAAACACATCCCAGCACCTATCTCCTCCACATATAGACTCCCCTTCACCAATCAAATTAAAGCATCGAGGTGTACGGAGTAGCGAATCCATCTTTTATTTGTCAACGAAGGGTGCTCGCTCGTATGCAGACTGCTTTGAGCATACCGTCTACGATGCGCTGATCGAAGCGCACATTCAAACTCATGCGTCATCTTTCCCGGGCCTCCTTTTCACAGGAGAGGGCGAGAACGGTATGTCTCGGATTTCAATCAAAATTTCCAAGCGAAGTGGTTCTTGTGAGAGATCTAGATGAATGATATAGCTATCAGAAGTATCACGATATATGTGCCACATTTCAAACAGAACGAGCGCTGACAGGGAAAGGGAAAGCTAATGAACACGGCCTGAAATCCGAGTAAATTGCATTTCAATGCCTTGTACTGGTGTGCAGCTCTTTCTTGTATGCTAAGATTCGGACATGCAAACAATATAGTAAAAAATATTGAAAGACAGATTTTATACTGGCGACCAAGCCTAGTATTTTTTTCCCTTGCTCTTTTTTTTATTCATATCAGAGGATCTTATCGTAACAAATGCAGGCATGACCGTAACAAAGGAGGTATCGAATAAATAACAACAAAACAAAATGAAACGCCAAAACCAGGCTCGAAATTTGTAAATCCAACAACATTGAACATGAGTCATCAAAACGCAACAAACCCTTGTACAGAACAAGTCTCTATATGGTGAATGGGACAAGGCGAAATCAAACAGGCGGCTCAACTGTCTGCAGCGGAACATAACCCTCATCACCCCGACTAGCGGGTATGGGTCCTTTGCCAGTGACCAGTGACCATAGCGAAGAGACAACATCCCTGACACGATGACGCAGAGAGCGCGGGCTATCCGACAAAATAGTAGCTGAAGCCCACCAGCTCACTTTACGAGCATGGCCGCGATGCGCTACACCAGCCGGAGAGATCGCACCCGAGCGAAGCTCCTTCTCAAGACGCTCAACCTCCATCCAAGATGGGCGACTCCAGAACTTCAAGAGCAGACTGCTAACAACAACGGAGACACTGGAAAGCGCCATGGCACCACCGGCGGCCATGGGCGGTAGCATGAAGCCCGTGAAGGGGAGGAAAAGACCCATGGCAAACGGAAGGCCGATGACATTGTACATGCAAGCCCAAACTAAGTTCAGCTTGATGCGTCTGAAGACCGAGCGCGAGAGGGAGAGACTGGCTGGTACAGAGAGTAGATCGTCCGGACGCATGAGGACGATATCAGCAGCCTCGACAGCTACGTCTGTGCCGGATGCAAGGGCGATTCCGACAGATGCAGTGGCCAACGCGGGAGAGTCGTTGATGCCATCACCGACCATGGCGACGCGCTCGCCTTTTTCTTGGAGGGCGGAGACGATTGACCGTTTCTCGGATGGGGAGACGGATGCGCTGATTGAAGCGGTTGGGATACCGACTGCTGTGGCGATTGATATCGCCGTTGAGAGCGTGTCGCCTGTCACCATGGAGGTTGAGATGCCCATACGATGCAGGGCTGCTACTGCCGCGACGGCTGTCGCTTTCACTGTATCTCGAAGGGAGATGGTTCCCGCATAGCGGTTGTCGATTGCGACGTGGATGCGTGTAACGCCGGCAGCGGTGGTGCCAGGCTTGGGGACGTCGGTTTCCAGGTCTTCGATAGAATCCGCAGAGTCGGGATCTGCATCAGCGGGAACAGGGACGTCTTTGGACCGGAGGAATTTGGCGTTGCCAAGGAAGACATGGTGCCGGATACGCTGGCCGCTAGATGCAGGCTCGACGATGGCAGAGACACCCCTACCAACACTGTTTTCAACGTCCCCCGTACTCCCTGGTAACCCATCTTCTCCGGGATGACCTGATTCAGTTATGGCCGCAGAGAAGATCGCTCGTCCGATTGGGTGTTCACTGCCTGTTTCTGCAAGACCGACAATAAGCCACCAGAGCTGACGGCGCCAGTCGTTCACTGTCCATTGAGGTTCGATTCGAGTGTGATTCACGCTCATCCGACCTGTGGTCAGGGTGCCCGTCTTATCAAAGACGACATGAGTAATTTTTGTGGCAGCTTCTAGCACGGCACCTCCCTTAACGAGGATGCCATGCTCGGCGCCGACACCGGTACCAACCATGACTGCGGTCGGAGTGCTCAGGCCTAAAGCACATGGGCACGCAAAGACAATGACTGAGATGCACAGCTTCAAGCAGACCATGACTCTGCCACCACTGCCTGCCATTTCAAAGATTGTAGGCGGATGAGGCAGTACATGACTGAGGAACATCCAACCAAAGAATGTAATCAGACCAAGACCGATGATAGTGGGGACGAAGTAACCGGCAACGATATCAGCCATGCGCTGAATAGGAGCACGGCTCGTCTGTGCATCCTGCACCAACTTTACAATTTGGCTCAACTGGGTATCCTTGCCGGTTCGAATGACTTTGAAATCAATAGAGTTTGTGCCATTCACAGTCCCAGCGATGATCTGACTGCCTTTCTTTTTGTGAATAGGTAGTGCCTCTCCACTGATCATACTCTCGTCAACATAGCTTTCACCCCGGATGACCACACCGTCCGCAGACACTTTATCTCCCGGGTGGAGAATGACAACATCGCCGACTTGAATCAGCTCGGTGGGAATGCATCTTTGATTCACCGTCATGTCGTTAGCTAACGTAGGTTGCTCAATTGCACCAGGTGTAGGTTTGGAGGTCCAGCGCTCAGCCAGTTTCTCTGCCGCAATGGGATCTTCGTAAATCGTCGTCATCGATGGAGTCAGGCACATGAGCCTAGAAAGAGCAGCGGAGGTTTGGCCCTTGGCTCGGTTCTCTAGCCATCGTCCCAAGGTGATAAAGGTGATGAGCATCGTACTGGTGTCGAACACGGTGCTCGGACGTCTGTGGTTCATGCCACAAAGAGCCATGATCATAGTAAAACAGCTGTAAAAGAAGGCAGCGGACGTGCCTAACATTACGAGAACGTCCATGGTTGGGGATCGATGCTTGAGGGACTTGAAGCTGGTGACATAAAATCGTTTGCCGATGCCGAACTGCACCGGAATGGTAAGAGCAAGACAGACCAGATCTCCGAGATATAGACCCGGGAAGAGAGCAAAACTGCCAAAGTCAATACTGGGCAAATACATTGGAAGAATCATGCTGATGAGGAAGACAGGAACCGCGAAAGAGGCGGCGATAATGAAGGATCTTTTCCAGTCTTGAATTTCCTTCGTTTTGGATAATGACTGTAGTTGTGCGTTCGTATCATCTGAGTCGACAATTAAGGCGTTGTAACCAGCAGCCTCGATCGCTTCCACAATCGACCGGATTCCGATTGTACAGGGGTCAAAAGAAATGACCATACGAGATGTAGCCATTTTGATTGATGCCGAATGAACACCCGGTTGCTGGAATATGTTTTCTTCCAATTCTGTGGCAGAAACGCCGTCCCGCAGCCCATGCAAGCTCAAATTGACCTGCTGTGTATTTTTTGAAAATGATGCCTGCGCCTCTGATGACACGATCGACGCATCAAATCCGGCATCTTCCACAAGATCTGCAATTTTGCTGGCAGGAAGTATGCTTGGGTCGTGCACAACTACCGCCCGCTCAGCCAGAAGACTAATGTTGAGTTGGATTACCCCATCGACATTGCCCAATGCACCTTGAACGCTAGATGTGCAAGCGCCGCATGTCATTCCTCCAATTGCGATGGTGGTGACCAGCAGTCTAGATTTCTCTTCCGAGCCAGCCGGTGCAGATGGCTCCTTGGAGCCCACTAGAGAAGTGTCCAGCACTCGCGCTCCAAAGCCTCGATCTTCAATGAGCTCTGCGATCTGCTCCGGTGTGATGATCTCAGCATCATGTTCCACGACTGCGCGCTCGGAAAGTAGTGAGACGTCTACGGAGTTCACACCGCTGACATCGTTTAACCCGCTTTCCACTGCAGACGTACATGCCCCACATGTCATACCCTCAATTGCCAGGTTGGTCACCGAGAGTCGTGTAGCTGGAAAAGAAGAAGGGTCGGGATTCCTTTGTTCCTCGGTCGAAAGTACTGCCGCATCGAACCCGCAGTCTTCAATCATCTCTGCGATTTTCGCGGGCGGTAACACCCACGGATCGTGTTGTACAGCGGCCCTACCCATGATCAGACTGACGGAAACATCGTGAGCACCGTCTACTCCTTGAAATGCACCCTCTACTGCTGATGTGCATGCTCCGCAAGTCATTCCGTCTACTTTGATAGTTGTGGTGGCCATTGCGGGTCGACTGACCCCGCCGGATTGCAGATTCATGGATGACATCTCGACAGTGAAGCGCGAGGCGAACACGGCGAGGAACGACAAGACTATAGCATATAGACAATGTCCGACAAACTGCCTCCGACGCGATGGCAGAGGGTGACAGCGTGCTGAGAGGGACGGATGGTCTCGGATGGCGCCAGACTAATAGATCATTCCCTTGTTGAGCGGACAAAGGGAGCTGCAGAAGTTAAAAAGAGGAAGATTGGCCAGAATGCCACGTCGATCAGATAAAAAGCAAGAACTCAGTCTAAGACGCAAGGGGAGGGAAAAGCAAAGTGGATTTGTTCGGGGACGGGATTCGGTGATTGATGTGGATCGCATCCCACACCGTGGAATGCGTGGGCAGCTGATTAGATCCCTGTTGATTTTCAATGAGATTAATGATACAGCGAGGAATCCTAGTAAATTCACATTTTCACGTAATTTGGAAGGCCTGAAACAGACTAAGCAATACGAAAACAAGTGGCAGTTTCAAGCTACGACCTGGTCACACTCGGCTTATTGTCGTTTTTTCGACGGAGCACTCCGTACTGTACTTGTAGAATGGGGGGGCCCTGCATTGTGACCACATTTAATTTAATAGATCCGAGACACTCCGTATCATAAACAATGATCGAACACATAAAATGATAGCAATGAAAGTGAAATAACAACCTGAGGTTGAAACCTAGTACCTCCAGGGCTACATAAGAATAGCCCTAAGGTTGACGCCGTAAGACTTTTCAAATCCTTACTTTGTAGGCCGATGTTAGGATCATTTATATGGAAGAACGCTGCGTCTGGTTTTAAATTCTAAGTGAAGATACGGGAGTAGAGTTAACCATTTCTGCTTGCCTTTGGTTTTACTCAGCCATTGCTGCTTTTTACGCAGTACAACTGAGCACACCCTTAGAGCTCCTTCCTGGAGCTTACATAAGATTGTTGGCCAGGGAGTTCGCGACACTATCACGTGATTCGAAGTACGGGAGCTATACCAGGATAGGTAGACCCACTCTTTTGGAGCTCCGGACTACGTCATGATCTCGTGTGTCTTGTTAGGCTCTCTCATCTTCAAGACTTTGTAAGGTCAAACCAATCTACTCCGCATACACCCTCTTTTCATTTTTGGCTGTTCTTCCTTCAAAGTCTTCTTCCTCAGCCAAGCTACACCGTTAATTTAGACTTTCAACCATCAAACTTCAATCAAACTTCATCATATCTGACGCCGGTCACAAGAATTTCACCACCAGTATATGACACTGCTTTACCTGGCTGCTTTACCTGGTTGCCAAGTTGTCAAGACATTGTTACTGACCTAGATTTTGATCAATAAGCTTGTTGATCCACCTGGAAACGGTTCTCGGTCTTGCATGATTCAAATTGCGGGAACTATACCCAGATAGGCAGTTCCTCTTTTTGAGCTTCGGCAGGTGCAATCACATTATTTCTCTCTAACCCCACCTCTCTCTCTAACCTCACCAACTAGAAACATGGAGAGAGTCAATCGCTATCAATCAACCCGTCGGAATGATAAAACTGTGGCCGTTTTACAAGCCTTTCATACCCACCTTCCTCCCGATGGAAAAGCGAATTTTGTCCGGCATGGTCAGACATTGGACACAGATCAAGCCATCCATGATCATGCCGAGTCCCTTGTGAACGGCCTTCTCGCGCCATTAAGGTCCCTAAGTTCAACACCATGCATCTCTCCGCGGTTGGGAATGGAAGATTCCATTGAAAACTTTGCTTCACAGTCAACCGGCCCACTAGTGAGAAAATCCCGTTTGAAAACTGACTGTCTTAAGAGGGATGGCGGAAAATGTATAGTCACCAAGGTTTTTGACGTGGAATCAATTGACAAAAGCGACCGAAGTCTTACGGCCACATACACTGAGTGCGCGCAGATCATTCCCTTTTCCTTGGCGTCATGGAAAGATGAGCGTGAAGAACACGCAAAGAAAATTGTCTGGACAACCTTAGTCAGGTTTTCCCAGCCCTCGAGAATCGAATTCACTTTACCCGAGAAAATATCGATGACACGCATCATGCAATGACCATGGCCTCCAATCTTCATCAGTCGTTCGGGGGGTTCGATTCCGCATTTGAAGAAACCTCGGTTCCGCACAAGTACCTGAAAAAAAATAACTTACCTCAGTTATTACGTAGCCTCCCTCGAATCGTCACATTCACCTGTCACGACCCGCTATATACGCTCGCGAACCCAGAGCTTTAGAAGGTTTATGCAGCGGTGGCCCGCATTTTTCATGCCTCTGGATTAGCCGAGCACGTTGACAAATCTTTCTGTGACTTAGGAGGCATCAGTATTATGGCTAGAGATGGGAGTACGGATTTTTCCTCTATGCTGGCCGCAAGCTCAATCGGCATTCTCGGCTCACGCACTAGCAATTCTCAGCAGACTCCAAGCGAATTGGATTCCAAATCAATCAAAAGATCAAATTGCATGGCCAGCTTCCTCTTTGAACGTGGTGCCACGATACGAGGCATTATTCCTTTTATCCTGTACGGCCACGGCAGTGCCATCAGCTCCATGTAAGTTACTCTATCATTGGAAGCAGAGAGGCGTATTCTTATACTACCTCCAGCGGACCTGGGGGGTTTTAGCGCCCTAGCAAAAGGCGGTGGTACTGACATTTCATCTATGTTGGCTGTCAGCTCACTGGTGTTCTTGGTTCACAGGCTACTTCAGCGGTATTATTAGATTCCAAAGCATGAGTTCAGAGCGTTAATAGTGGATTGACGCAAGAACATAATACTGATGAGGAATACACCGTACGACGTTGAGTGCACGTGGGGTTATCTTTAGAGACGAATCTAGCAACATTGAGACTTGTGCACATAGTATCCCTGTCCAAAGTGTCATCTTAGACATTTGAAATGACAGTAGTTCTTTTGCCAATAAGGCTATACATAGTCATAAAGTCTTTGTCTTATTACTAGTCCCATTCCAAGAAGTGGTACATGTCCATTACAACCAACATGGTATAGTGGCGGCCCATAGCTTTAAACCCCCTAATTCTGCCCGACCTAAAACCACCGATCAAATACCGAAGAAGATGAGTGGGATGACTGTGTAAGTAGGCGGTGTAACTTTCTAGAAAGGCCTTCGCCGAGGGGATGCTCGCTGTTCTTGAATCAGATAAGGCATGTTTGCATTCCAATGCAAACAGGTATCTCCACCTGGACTACATTTAATGCTTCACATCTTAAACTGAGCTACTCCGTACCTCTCATATTGCGAGCTGTCTCCCTTGGATACCCTCTAATACTCTCATTGAGCTTTCACTTCTATCAAGCACATCGTTATAATGGACCAGACCCACACACGAGCCCTAGAGGCTCTCCAGCCATTTATCCACCTAGCCCGCTCCAACAACGCAGGCTCACCTCGCTTTATCGCCAGTTTGATCACAAATGCCACTTCAAGCACACAAACCTACGTCTTCGCAGAGCTACTCGAGCTGCCGACAGTCCAAGCATTACGGTCACCAGATACTCCAGCCGAGTTCAAGGGATATCTAAAGCTACTAGAGATCTTTGCATGGGGCACATGGCAAGAATATCAAAGTAAGATTGCAAGTATCCAATGCCCAGGAACTAAAAAAGCTCCAAACGATCCAAACTAAACCGTCTCGGAAAACCAAACCTCCACACCCCCAAGCTACCCGAGCCAAAGCTAACCACCAACACTCCTCCACACCAGCGACCCCAAACCTCCCCGAGCTGAACACCGAACAAACACTCAAACTTCGCCTCCTCTCACTCCTCACCCTCTCAACAACAATCAAACCCCTCACCTACAGCGCCCTGATGACCGCCCTCAGCACCCCCACAAAGGCCGAGCTCGAATCCCTCGTAACAACAGCCATCTACGCCTCCCTGATATCAGGCCGCCTCTCACCAGCATCCAACCCACCATCCGTGAACGTCACAGCTGTTGCCCCACTCCGCGACGTCCAACCGCAGTCCCTCCCCAAGATGATCGCCACCTTGGGCGAGTGGGAATCCCGCTGTGGCGAGGTCATCTCCGATCTGGAGGTGGAGATTGCGCGCGTCAAGAGCGACGCTGTGAAGCGTGGTGTACGCTCCCAGGCGCACAATGAGGCACTCGAGGAAGCTCTTAAGAGGAAGCAAAATGCGGGGAAGAAGGGTGGTCGGCGTGGTGGTCGGCTTGGCGGTGGTATTGGAGGGAGTAAGAGGGATGCAGACGATATTGATGAAGATGATGGGTTCTTCGAGACTTACGATGGGGGTGAGCATGGCTCGCGCATGGATATTGATGAGACGCCTGGTGCTCGTGCGGGAAGCAGTCGGCAGCCAAAGAGGGTGTTGGGGCGCAAGTCTTGAATGCGGATGTCTCGATGCATTCAGATGGCACAACTCTCCCCATTTGCTGACGGTTATGGGGCACAGAAGAGCATAGCGACTCCAGCGGGATTGACGATACAAAATGACTTGGTTATGGTTTACTTTTACCTTTTACATGTCATAGATATGGAATCCGTGGTCAGGAGCAAATTGCATTCGTAAGGCCTTAATGGCGACGTTCATTAACGAGAAAATAGATACAGCACAAAAAATTTCAAAGTCAAGGGGGGTATTGATAGAAGAGAAGAAAAATCGCAGCAAAAAAAACCAGGCGCAACAAAATGTGGACACGACAAAGAGGAAGTAGATGTAACCGCTGATAAGCGGGTGGATAAAGCAGATCGAGGAGGAGAAAAAAAAATCCCTTCTGTAGAGCTCCAAAGGTGGAGATGGGCTGTAGATTTCAGGCATAGTCTTTGCCAAGAGTATGCACCATAGAAGTAAAAACTTCAGTGATCAGACGCAGTGAGAACGCCTTGTGAACAAGTCAAGTCAATTGTAGACATGGTAGGAATGATCAGATGACCAGACAACAAAGTTCACGGGACGCTTGTTTTTGGGGGTTGGATTAGATGGAAGCTGGACGCGGCGAAACGCTCAAATCATGGTACCGGGAACAAAAATGAATAAGATACTGAGAGCTGTCGCTGTAATAAAGGCGATCAATGCGGTAACGACGGCACGCTTGTTCAGCAGCTTTCGGACATAGGGCTCGCGAATCGGGGCCCAGTTCATAAAAGTGTATTCGCTGTAGCCCAGGAACGCCATGATCGGATCGATCTTGTAATGATAGGAAATGATGAAGTATGACGCGACTGCAAATGGAAGAATAACCTGGATCAAAGTTAACGGGCTGGTTCATCGGCGCTTAGACATAATTCTCAACATACCCAACAACGAATTCTCCGCGGCTTGTTACGCAGAACAACGTAGAAGGCACCCCAGAATCCTCCACCGAAACTAGTCAGAGCAAAGGCGAGTCGCAAGACGATACTCAGGGGAACCATATTTCCAAGGGCTTTTGCTTGCAAGAATCCTGGGAATGCATCACGCTCCATGGCCTGGAACACGTAGTCCTTAGCAGGATCGAACACTTCCGGGTCGTCTCGGCCTTCATCTTCGACCAGGTTGATAATTGTAGAAACTATCGAATCTGGTAGAATAATCTCTCGCTCGGAACCGGGAAGCAGATACGTGTACAAGATCTTCTCAGCGCTGGCGCGAATGTCATTGCGGGCCACTGTGTGCCCGGGGGAGGTTGAGTCGTTAAGCCGGGAATCTGGGGTGTCACGGCCATTCTCATTCGAAGAGAGCTGTTGTGCTGATTCGCCGGAAGATCCCAGGCTATTTTGCCGGGATGTCGATGTGGTGTGGCCTTCGGAGCGAAGGAAGGCAGACAAGCGATGGTCGGCATCTCTGTCCTTTTCGTTTTCTTGGAATCCGCGTGGACGGGAAGGCCCAGCCTCCGTCAACGGGATATCACCGAGGTTCTCCAGATTGTCTAGAATGGCAGAGGATCGTTTGCTATCGGTTCCTTCAATGTCGGGAGTTGCGACGAGCACGGAACGGCGGAGTTCACGGACATAATGTCGACACAGTAGCATGTGTTGCGATACATCCAGCCTAGAGATCCCGTTAACTTCCTATTCTGGGAATCGAACGTGAGATTACACTGACCAAAAATCTAGGTAGTCTACAGAACGCTGCTGGTCGCGCATGTAAATGTAGAATGAAAAGAGGTCGACTGGGGCGAGAGTTCGGCGGCTGAGCACTTCAAAGAGGGTCGGGAGGCGATTGCGCGACTCCGCGTCGGAAAGATCATGATGAGACATATTGATAGTGGGTTTAGAGTAGATAACAGTGAGATGACCAGCACCGAAATTCCAAAGTGAAGGTGGGAGCCTCAAGGAGCAAAAGGGGGGAGGGAAGAGATCAAAGTCGCGTCGGCAAGAGGGCGAGCGAGATCTCAACACACTCCGATAGATATGAGATATAGATTGTAGGTAATTGAAAGCGAATGACAGACAATGAAGAGCGAAATAAAAGAGATTGAAAATAGATGAACTCCGCGTTGCGAGGTACACAATGAATTGGGTGTGGATATCGGGGGGAGCCCCTGAGGTCACAACTAGGTCAGCTCAGCAACAGCAACAGCGAAAAAAAGAACAAGAAATCTCGAAACAGACAAGTCCCACGAGACGAAAGAGGCAAGGGTGAAGTTGAGACTATTCTAGCCATCAGCATTCTTCTCGAAACACCGCAACAACGATAATCCGAAATTAGGATCTGTCAGGGGGGAAATTAACGTTGAGGTTTAGGTTATTGCCTCATATATCATCATACATTTAAACCCGGGTTTTAGATTGACATTCACCTTGATCCTGCCGCTACGACCCTGTTAGGTGCTCTATATAATGGACTATCAACTTCAACCAGACAGGCATCAGCCCCACAATCCCCAGTGTGGCATTGAAAAGATGTGATTGGTGTGAAGATCTGGATCTCCATCCATGGATTGAGCTTGACGTTGATCTACAAAGTACGGAGTAGACTTTTAACGCTAATTTAACCTTGAAAATGAAATTCATAAACTGGCATTGAATTTAGAAGCCAGTGAAAATTGCACGTTGTGATAATCTATCAACAGGGTATTGCCCATCAAATCCCAATCCAACGCCGTTTCTCCCACCCCCTTCGAAAAAAAAAAGCACCCTCGCTGCAATGAATGTATGTCCCGAGATCAATGACTATCGGCAAGGTGCTAAATGGCAAAGTTAGCATGTGTTTTGTGAGCAATGGCCTTGATTCCTGAATACGTACCGACCACTCTGGAATATTCCGGATCTGCTGCCACATAAACTTCTCAAGCTTATTTGCGCTTTTGGCATAGGGTGTGGTCTCATTATTGTAGCGTCGGCAATTGTCAAAAACTAACATGGCATCCTTGATGAAATCCTGTGGGGTTGGATACAAGTCCTTCTCATGCTTCTCTTCCATGGTCGACAGATCCATGGGCTCCATAATTACCTCGTAGTAGTCTGGAACTTCGTCGCGGTTTACCGGTTGAGTAAATGGCCAGGCTGCACTATGATTCTGCATATCGTTTAACAAATGCAGCAGTTGATTATAGTTGGGCCCATGGCGTGGTTGACGAGCCATTTCATCCATGTCGGGCGACCATCCCGACTCTTTAATTGCGGGAATGCTAAGAGGATCGATCGCGTACACCCCGTTCTTCCATTCCTTCGGAGGGGGATGGATGATATGTGAGCGACTGAAGGCACGGATCTTGGCTTGCACAGACTCCTTCTGCTTGGTGAGCATGCGACCCATCTCCAGATAACGGATCTTGGGGAGCATGGTACACTGCATGAGCGTGCCACCCTCGTAATCCTTTATGTAGCCCATCCAGATTGATTTATCGAGGGTGATCTCTTTGGTGAAGCCTTGCTTCTTAAAGTATCCAATGGCATAGTTATCGGCGTAGGTGAGGAAGTGCATAATGGGAGAGGTGGCTTTCACGTAGTCCTAAGGCAACTGAGTTAGACATTGACTGGAAATCATGCACCTTGAAGCACATGTACCTTGAGATGAGACATCAAGTGTGCACCGTATCCCTTTACTTGTTGATCCGAGGATATAGCACAGAAGACAATCTCAGCAAACTTTCGAGAATTGAACGGACGATACGTAATTCCTCTGTGCTTTATCAGTATTCTAATCCCACCAACTTGTGCAATACCCGGTATTTATGACATACCCAACAACCTCCAGCGGATGCTTTACAATCGCCATGGATAGATGGGATCGATCGTAGACGAGACGTGCGATATAGTCCTTAGGCATCTTCGGAAGTTGCTTCTGGAAGATGCATTTCAATCCTGTGAGGACAATAAAGCTATCGTGTGTACCATCGTTGTTGACGACACGAAACTCAATGTCGCCTCGACGTTCCTCGAGGACAGCGGGCTGTGTATCATCAGCCATTGCTCATGAAGAGATATGAGAAGCAGTAGCGCAGGATGGGAGGGTACCTTCTCAGGGAATGGAACAATGCGGAGCGGAGGTTTTTTAAGTAGGCCATCTTCCTGTGGGTGGTAGCTGTCAGAGCAAACAGGCGTAGCAGTTCGGCAGAAGATCTTACCTCTTTCACAGGAGAATCCGTGCGCGCCTTCTTGATAATCTGCTGCCCAGACTCCGGGGAAGTTGCCTCCTCAGAGGCTTTGCGCTTGAAACCTGATATCATAGTGACACGTTAAGATTTTTGATTGATGAAAGACAATGCGAGATTATAAGACTTTACTTACTCTTTGGCGAATCAACAGTCATGGTGACTTTGACCTTCAAATCTGATACCTGCGCCGACGATGACATGGGGTATCGGTCGGAACAACTAACCACCGGTCGGGCCAGATCAACACCATCGATCTATATCACTCTCACATTGTCTTCAAACTGCATCAATTCACCCATCAAGTACATTTACATTCCATTCTATTATCCTAATGTCTCTGAACGAAGTCTGGGAGGCAGCCTCTGCAACTCCTTTCATCCCTCTCATTCCCAAGGACAACCAGTTCTCCGTCGGCTTCAACCTGCTCTTCCTTGGTAAGCTTCTTGGTTCATCACAGCTTTGGAATTACCCACTCTCTGACTAATGTTGGCAGCATTGGTTACGGGCACCCTATTTGGCTTGAGTAAGTCAAACTCAAACTTAGTTATCGAACTCGACTCTGACATCTCACCAAACAGATCGGTCTTTCCCCGGCATCGTTTCCTTGGGGCTCCCAGCCGCACTGGCATCTGGGTTAGTAATGCAATACGTCCCATTTACGACGAACATTATACTGACTTGGTATTCTGGACAGTTTTGGAGCTGTGTTCATGATCTGTGCCGCCGGAGTCTACGTCTAACCGGCAACTTTTCCCTATTGCGCGTCCCCTCACATGTACCATTAGCGTGGAGTTCAAAGGGGCTTGTACTGCTAGAACATCCAAGCCATCACACATTTTCGGACTTTTTTATCTTTGCTCTGTGCCAGTATCGCGCCTGAAACGTTCGAGCTGCCAGCCTACGCCACAAAATGGAGCCCCTTTTCGCTGGCGTCTCCAACAACGCCCACCATCTCTACACACTGCTCTCTTGCATTGGTTTTGCACATAAAGCTACCGTCCAAATCACCCCCGATGGCCTCCGATTCTCGGTGGAGGAGGGCCGCGTCATCCAAGGACTCGCCTTCATCGACAAGTCGCTCTTCACCAGCTATACATTCAACCCCTCGACAAACTCCGAACCTAACAATCAGAATAGAACACTCCAAGACGACAACGAATCCTCACAAACTGGTGCTTACCCTCACTTTGTCGTTTCGCTCTCTGCCATCCTCGAAACCTTAAAGATCTTCGGCATTAACGAGCTTTCCGAGTCCAATCGACCGCGCGACACTAGTATCACGCACACCGGCATCGCTTCGTCAAGCGCATTCAACGCTCCAGCCCTGCTCATGGACCGCTCCTGCACCCTACAATACGCCCAGCACGGTGCCCCGCTTAGCATTACCATCACCGAAGCTGGCGTGAAAACAACCTGCGAGCTGGTAACCTATGAACCTGACGAAGACGAAGCAGACATTCCTCTCCAGCGCGACGCCATCGTCATGAAAATCATCATGCGGTCCGCCTGGCTACACAATTCCATTGCCGAACTCGACTCGTCCACCCCCACGATCCTGAAATTGTCCGCCTGCGCCAAGCGAGAACCGTATTTTGCTCTTTCCGGTGCGGGCGGCCCGTTCGGTGAATCCTCTGTGGAATTCTCTATTGACCAGCACAACGAGATCGTCGGAGGTGCTGGTCATGGCACCCCACAATCTCAGATGCACAAGGTGTTGTTCAATGATGGCTCTTCCCGGGCTCGCGCAACTAGAGCAAAGCTTGCGCCCACGGTCACGGAGACTTTCCTTGTTTCTCCCTCTTCCTCTATGAGTGAGCGCATTCAACAGAGCTATCGCTTTGCATTGATCCGCAAGGCTGCGAGAGCTATGTCTGTCGCGAACAAAGTTAGCATACGTGGGGATCGGCAGGGGGTGTTGAGCTTGCAGTTCATGGTTGAGCTTGATGATCAGAATGTGCCAGTGGGCAGGCCGGTTGGCGCTGGCGTAAAGGGTCCCAATGGACCTGTGTGCTTTGTGGACTTCCGGTTTGTGCCATTGCTAGACGAAGAGGAGGCTGAGATGGAGATGGATGCAGGAGTCCAATAGCCGAGCTAGGATCAACATGGTTTTTAAAAAAAAGAGCGGAAATTCAAGTAAACAGTGGTTTAAGTTACAGATCAACAGAGCGAAACAGTTTCTTCTAATCGTAGTTGGCGTACAAGCTATGTGTAGTACAAAACAAATCGATTTCAGGGCCAAAAACTCAGGCGCTAAGGTATCAACCTAACAACTACAGCGGGAAATCAAGACCCCGAGACAAGATCAATTAATTCATGTACATCGTCACCTGGGCAGAAGTGCACACAGTATCAGTATAGCTATCAGTATAAAATAGAAACCAAGCCACAAACCAGCCATGCCACGACTGCGAATATGTCCAAAAGGCCAAATCCCGAAGTGCGTCACAAAACGCCAGAGATAGAAAAAAAAATTGAAGCGCACTGTCACACTCAGGCATGATCAGGATTGTAGCTCGTTTCCCCCAGCATACTCTGACCAACAGGTGCAGCCGGAGTGGGCGTAGTAGGACGCGGCATCGACGAGCTAGGCTCCCCCAAACCAGGGGAATGAACCTGCACGCGCCCAACAGTAGCAGCCTGTAGCCTGCGATCCAAAGCCTTGAGTGCAATTGCCCGTCTGCGCTCCGCCTCCTCGCGCTTCCCCGCACCCCTGACCCCACCACGCTGGCTATTCAACAGCGTAGGCAAGCCCGCATCGCCTCTCGCCAGTACCAACTCGTTACCGGAGGCGATATCGTCCTGGGAGAACGGTTTCAAGAGCTTAGCTGCGACCAGTAGCGCGTAGATCTTGTCCGCAACGAACGCGACAGGCGGCTGCATCGCATCAGGAAATAAACAAGCAAATGCAAAGGTCTCGCTGGCATCGCCTTTAATGCCTGTACTGCTCGAGGTGCCAGTTAGGTCGGGCTGCCGCTTGTAGAAGCGGAGGTAGGTCCAGCTGGTGAGGATGCCGAGCCAGGAGAGGATTGCGGCGGGGTCGGTTCCGATGATGAGGCCGCTGATGGTGTTTAGGAGGAGAAAGAGGGCGGGGAAATGCTTTACGCGCATTTTGACTACTCCTTTGAAGATTGTTACAGTGTGTTCCGGGACGAGCTGTTTGAAGGCGACTAGGAAGGCTGCTTGGATGGAGACACCGCCGCAGATTTGGGTGAGGCTGTTTATTTTGGAGATGGTTAGTGTGTTTGGTTTAGGGTGGTGGCAATCGGTTTGCTCGTTTGGGGATACCGAGGTGGGGGATGCGTACGCTCTACTTGAGGAGCCCCCGAGTGCTCCCCATATCAGGTAGATTGGGATGATGGAGACACAGGGGATTACGGCGACGACTGCGATGAACTTGCTGAACTCGCGCGAACCCCATGCGCGTTCGAGGTACTTGCCGCCATAGAAAATGGTGGCGGAGTTTAGTAGGACGGTAAAGATGTTCTGCTCAACGAAGGTGGCCGTGACGATTGTCCAAGGGTAGTGGTAAAAGAACGAGGGGACGAGGGTCAGGTAGGGGACGAGGGGAGATGTGGTCGGGGTTCCGCCGGTGGTGTCAATTTGTCGCCATCTGGCAATGTTGTAGAGTAGGGAGAGTGTGAGAAGGCTGACGAGACAGATTCGAGTAGCAGGGGGAATTTTGATTCGGGGCGACATGTTGGAGCTCGCTTGGAGCTGCAAGACGCCACAGACCGTGTAGATGGGGAAAGATGAGGTGGGAGACTTGAGCGGAGGGCGGAGAAGCACCTGTTTGTTTGGGCCCGGGATGTTTCAAGGGCACAAACTACAACATTCCTCTTTCACCTCTATTGGGTTATTGATTCTGGTTCTTAATTTACATGTCATCTAATCCCATTTTCCTTCCTATCTGATGGATGGTATCAAAAATTTTGCTTATTGTTTCCAGTTCTACCAATGACTTGAACATAGGTGGGTTTTAGTCGTTCTTTAGAAATCATGTTGGAACCAGTGTCATCACATCTAGCATCCTACCTCTTACAGAGTACCTAACCATCTGTCAGACACTCCGTAAATAGGAGTTCCCCATCAGGTGACATCGGTAGCAACTGGAGGTGAAAGGAAACCAATGTCTATCCAGGATTAGACTAGTCAGCTGCTTAGGCTTGTTAGGCTTGTAACGTCTCTTCTGGTATTCAGTGTCAAACGTCATTTAGATCTTTTGTTTCCAGAGGTTTCTCCCCTCATTGGTGTAATAGCTAGATTGTAGGTGGCAGACTTTAAATGTGCAAACCGACTTTTCCATGTAAACCCCTCGACTTGACAAGTCCGTAAGTTAAAAAGCAGTTAAAGTAATAAAAAAAGTACCCCCAACAAGGTTAAACGACGCGCCAATGTCAGGTCGGTAACTGGCGGCATCATGAGCCACGATCCACCATCTGCGATTGACCTGCAGGTTCGGGTGGATGCAGTTCAGGTCATTGGTATGTGATGTCCGAAAGATAGCATCCCTGCAAGTAGATATGATGGGAAGTGTACATAGAAGTATATGTTGTGACACAGGCTAAACACTCCGGTACTTGGGATTGGAACCTTGAAAGGTGCTAAGGGTGCTAAGGGCGCTCGTGCTGAAATCCCCCGATGTGTGGAGAACGCCATTTTTAGGTACTGAATAGGAGAATAGGAGAGTTGTTTGAGAAGCCACAGTATCTTAAGGAGTAGAGTATCAGGAATGTGTGATCGAGGTTCGAATGTGAAACAGATATCCCCAATATTGTATTATACCTTATTTATAGGAAAACTGGACTGGAGAAGGCAAGTTTCGAAAAAAGTGTGGAGGAGAACCCGACGCCACAGGGAGGATCCAGTGGCTAGTGTGTGCTAAATGGACTTCTGCCAAACATTCTGGATCCTTTAATCCCAGATCTTCACTTTCCTCTCCCTCTCTCTTCTCTCTATTCATTGAATACTTGGTTTCTGTGTCTAAGAGACTACAGAGTAGCTTCGATTCTACTTGATCCTGCATGCCACTTCTTCGTCCCTCCATCCTCTCACTCTCATTTCCCCCACAAAACTCCAATTTCTCCCTGGTCTTGGCTGTCTCCTCGATCTTCAAGTCTCAGTCTTAGATTCTGTGCGGAAAATACAAGCCGCCTTCCTTCCCTGTTCTAGTTATCCAGAAGTTCCTATTCCCTTACGGCTTCGTGTTCTGTGTTCCTGAAGCCCCGTCTCCGCGCATCGAAGCCTCCACTTTGGTGTTCATCGGCACAGCTCTTCCCTCTCTGGCATGTCCGCGGCCCTTAGTTGGTCGCACATGTAATCATGGCACAACCCGACCTCACGTCGCATCATGTCAACTACTTAATATGGAGGTAAGTGCAATGCACTTCACGCACTTCACGTGCTTCACGCATCTCCTACAGAACTAATTTTCTTTCTAGGTACCTCCAAGAAGCAGGTTGGTCACACTTGCCCCCTTGACTATCTTCTCAATTTGGCCTCTAACTCAACCTAGGTCATGGCGATGCCGCCGTGTCTTTGCAGCGCGCGTGGTTCCCTGATCCGCAGACGCTCCCGTTTGCGCCATACATTAAAACTCACGCGCTAGTGTCGCTGGTCCAAAAGGGCTTGCAATACCACGAAATGGAATCCTCGCTAGACAAGGTATGTGTTTCAGTTTAACCCGAATCAATCAAATGAAGAATAAGCAAGCCAAACGGTTCTTACTTGCCAAAGGGAAAATCTCTACTTTCTTTTGGAGTTTCTCAATTGCAATTCAAACTAACCGTGATGCGCAGGAGGGCAATCACAAAAGCATTTCACCGTCTGATTATTTTTTTGGACCAGAGCCCTTTGAAATTGGAACCAAAACTAAATCAGTGGAAAATCGCGATGAGGCTGTCGGCACAGACCCAGATTCGGCGGGCCAGCTTGCGCGCGACCGCCCGGTAAACGGCCATCCTGAGCCCGGAAAGGACAGCCGAAAAGATGACACTGATAGCGATGACTCCATGGGGGATAGAGCGCAAACTGAAAGTCAGCCAAATACTCCCGAAAATGTGGATGAGGATGGTGATGTCAGCATGGCCGAGGAGATCCCTGAACTGCCGCCCACCCTGGAAAACGGCGAGAGCTCATCCGTCCAGATTGCCCCCGCCAAGCCCATCGACTTGACCCCCGACACCGCCCTGCTGAATACGGAACATCACGTGACGCACGCTGCATGGCGCCCGCAGGATCCCACTGTTGTTGCGGGAGCTGGTGACCTCTTTTGCAGTTTGTGGAAGCTATCAATGCCGTTGGAACCCGTGGAGAAGAAAATAATCGAGCTCAAGAAGGGTGACACCAGTGTCTCAACCGTAGCCTGGGATGCCATTGGTGAGAAATTGGCTGTCGCAACTTGTACTGATGACAGAGGAACTATCACCATGTACAACGTCAATGGAGACGCGATGGACTTATTACCCGAAGTACCTCGGCTCATCACTGGCTTGCACTGGGCAGCTGGTAGCTCACAACTGGTCGTTGTAGCCTCGAATCATAACATATCGGAACTCGCGCTTTGGGACGACAGCCGGCGTCCAGATGTTTTCCCTCCATCTCAAATAATCGAGAATCATATTTATGATCTCGCGTGGTGTGGACGCAACCTGGCATTTGCTTCTGGCGAGGGTGCAGTCTATCAATGCGAAGTGGATAGCAGCATCCGTTTGATCAAGACGTATCCTTCTCCCAAAGACAATGCAACCTGGGAGTTTATTCGATGTGTCCAAACCGAGTCGCATTCGGTTGCTATCGTGGCTTCTGGACTAAGTGCTTCAATTTGGATTCCTACTCATGACATTCTTATACCCAATGCCCACAAGGACAGAATCACCGGTATTGATATCAGTCCTCAATTTGACTCCCATCGTATTGAATTTGCCTCTTTCTCGGCAGATGGTAAGGTCAAGGTTTGGCAGGTCAGCCTCGATAGTAAGAATTACACCAACATTCATCAGCTGAGCCTCGACTCAAATCCCGCTATCACCGGATCATTCTCCCCCGATGGATACGCTTTCGGTGCGGCTAGCAAGGACGGACTCTTTATCTGGAACATTGAACACCCTAACGGTCATCTCGTGTCTACCTGGACCACAACCAGCCCCGAGGTGAAGAAAGAGGAAGCCGATCGAATGACCAATGGACAGAATGGACAGAATGGACACTATGGACAGAATGGTTACTCAAAATCCGAACACCATCGGGCCCTTTCCTGGGATGCAGATGGAAAACGACTTGCCTACGGCTTTAACAAACAGGTATGCTCGCCGGTCTGGTTTACCCATGTCGATTTCCCCCATGCTGACAGTCTACTCTCCCAAGATGGCAATTATCAACTTGCAAAGATGACAGAGTGGGTTCAAACAGCCACATAACTCACGACTCATGCCCTGCTTGAACTAATCCGACCATCCCGCTTGAAAAGCTTTTTCAATATCTTTCCCTCAAAGACATATCACCCTTTCGTGGGGTTTCCGAAAAAATTCTTTTTTAACTCTTTTTTGCCTTCTGTGGACATACATTATTTCTTTAGAAAATGCATAATGGCATGCATTGCTTGGGACAGGTTTGGGTGGGCACGGCGAATAACATGGACTGGCGACGGTGGACTTTTTCTTTTGCCTTTTTTTCCCCCTCGCCCATTTCAGGTGGGATCTGTGATTTCTAAAACTCACATTTAGTGTCTGATAATCAAGAAAATGCTCAATTTTCAAACGAGGGAGTCCTTGCACAGGACATGCATCACAGGTACATCCATAGCCGCTTTATCGATAATCGAAATACCCCTCGACGCTAGGCCGCTTTTGGATGCATATATCACTGGAGGACACTTCTGTAAGACGTGTACGGAACGGAGTAAGCTCTCCAACGTTGCTCGGAATTTGATCTAAAAATTCATAAGCCCTAAAATTGGAATCACAATAATACTCTGATGTGACACCTCAAATCAAACACATGCAGTCTGAGCGCATTCCTGGACCGCCCGTCAATAGATCTCCACCCCCCACAGTGATTCATTTTCCCACCGACTTGATCTTTCCTCTTTACTAACACCGTCAATATCAGCCACTTATAATAAAAAATGGCAACTCCTGTAAGTTACGCATCTGTCTCGCTGTTGTGTTTCTCCACTCTTTGACACCCCCGTCGAGATTCTGGTTTCCGTTCATTGACCAATGACTCAGGTCCCCAGCATCCCGTCCCTCGAGACGGCGCGAGAAGTGATCTTAAAGTCGAGGAACTCCGAGTTCCCTCCCAACCTACTTCCTGTCACGGCATCAATCTCCGCCGACCTCTTAACCCCAACATTGGCATACTTGAAGATCGCAGAGAAGTGAGTCATTGGGGTTGTTTTCAACATTGCCGATAAGCCTGGGCATGGGAATGCGGGACAAGATCGCTGACTCACAGGCATAGCTCGCGGTTGTCATTCTTGTATGAAAGTGCTGCCACCACAGAGACCATTGGGCGATACAGCTTTATTGGCGCAGGTGGGTGATTCCGGGAGTCTTTGGTCTGATTCCACCGCTTACTTCTTTTTAAACACTCAGATCCCAGAAAGGTCATCAAGACTGGCGAGGGCCATGGCCCAGCAGCGGATCCCCTCCCATTCCTTGAGGAGGAGCTTTCTCAGTACCGCGTCGCGACAGTACCTGAATTGGTCCTTCCGCCGTTGACCGCCGGAGCGATCGGATATGTGGGATACGACTGTGTTCGATACTTTGAGCCCAAGACGGCGCGGCCGATGAAGGACGTCCTTGAAGTGCCTGAATCGTTCTTTATGCTGTACGACACCATCATTGCCTTCGATCATTTCTTCCAGGTCGTCAAGGTTATCACGTACGTTCCCATTCCCTCGGCGGATGCCGAGATCGAGGCCTCATACCTCAAGGGTCAATCCATCATTCAAAAGACGATCGATACGCTACTCCAGGATCGCACGCCGCTTCCGCCCCAGGGCCCGATCATTCCGAACCAAGAGTACACATCCAACATCGGACGGGACGGATATGAGGGCCACGTCAACCGATTGAAGCAGCACATTGCCAAGGGCGATATTTTCCAGACCGTGCCGTCACAGCGGCTATCACGACCTACCTCTCTCCACCCATTCAACCTCTTCCGCCACCTTCGTACCGTTAACCCTTCCCCTTATCTGTTCTATATCGACTGCCAAGACTTCCAGCTTGTCGGAGCAAGCCCCGAGCTCCTGGTCAAGGAAGAGCGGGGGCGTATCATCAGCCACCCCATTGCAGGCACAGTAAAGCGGGGTAAGACCCCGGAGGAGGATGCCGCTCTCTCCGAGGAGCTCCGCAGCAGTCTCAAGGACCGCGCTGAGCACGTTATGCTGGTCGACCTTGCCCGCAACGATGTTAACCGGGTCTGCGACCCCACTACAACACAGGTCGACCGACTGATGGTTGTAGAGAAGTTCTCACACGTCCAGCACCTGGTCTCTCAGGTATCTGGAGAGTTGCGGCCAGGCATGACCCGCTTCGATGCATTCCGGTCTATCTTCCCCGCCGGCACAGTTTCAGGTGCACCCAAGGTGCGTGCCATGCAGCTCATCGCCGAGTTGGAGGGGGAAAAGCGCGGCGTCTACGCTGGCGCGGTCGGATACTTTGGATATAACAGCTCCAGCCCAGATGGCGCGGCCGAGGTGCCCGGTGCGATGGACACATGCATTGCGCTGCGCACTATGATGGTCAAGGACGGTGTGGCATACCTTCAGGCTGGTGGTGGTATTGTCTTTGACTCAGACCCCTATGATGAGTACATTGAGACGATCAACAAGCTTGGTGCCAATATTGCGTGCATCAAGGGCGCCGAGGCTAAATACCTAAGTATGGAGAAGTAATGGACGTGGATTGGGGAATAAATGCACACCCAGGCTGGTTACGGTTTAATTTAGCAGAAGCGTCGGTCCCTCGTGTTACACAATCGGGCCTGGTGTTCTGATGCGAGGACAAATAGCATTCTGAGGGCACACTTTCTCATGTCGGCAATGGAGTTCGATTTCGATTTCGGGTTCATGTCGATTTCGGGTTCATGTGGAATGGGTAGAATTTCATGGAACTATACTCACTTTCCGCGCAGGTCATTTTTCATATACATGCTTGATTACTCCCCCTGTATCAATGGTCAAGTCCCGATCTCCATTGCATTTCCAAAGCACTCTGTTTATCGGAGCTCAATCAACACCGAGCAACATTTTTGTGTTACGCAAAATGAAAATCTAGATTGTGAGGCCAAAGAAGGGCTTAATTCGGTCATCGGGATGGGAATTGGTATAGTAGGGTACATGGATATAGACCTAGTTTGAAACGTACCCCATCTTCCTTCCTTATCCTTTGATCCCGAATCATTTCTTCTTGAAAAGTGCCCAATCGCCCAAATAGCATCCATAACACGACCTGTCGTCGCCGGAGCCGGAGCCACCGGCCATCTAGGCAAGCACCTCACAACAGCCTTCCTCTCCCCCAGCTTCCAAGACACCTTCTCCGAAATTATCCTTCTCTCAAGAAACGGGTCATGTCTCTTCTAACCATCCGCCTCCCAATCCGGCGTAACACTCACAATACGCCGCTACAACGAGACCAACCTTGAAGAAGCTCTACAAGGCGTCCAAATCCTCGTAAACACATTCGGACCCGTAGGCCACGACTTCAAAACCAAGATCGCGGCCATCCTCCCCAGAACCAACATACGAGTCTACTTCCCCTCTGAGTTCGGTGTGGACCACTACGGCCATGACTTCGCTCCATTAGAATGGAACGAGAAGAAGAAGCACAATGCGAACGCGCGGCGAGTCGTCGCGCACATGCAGATCTGCCGCGTACTCTGCGGCCTGTTCCTAGAAGATAGTATCGGGCCTTGGTTCGGTCTCGATACCCAAAACGGGAAGTATACTAGTACTGGGTCCTTCCGTACGCCAGTGTCTTTTTACCTCGCTTGGAGACGACAATGAGCTTGTAAACCCTGGTCAACGGTTGTGGACATGGAAGAGTGTTGAGGAGTTGGCGGAGGAAACTCATGGGCAGCCTGTGAATGTTGCTGCCTGGCCTTGTCATAAGTAGAAGTTCGGTGAGTAAAGAAGATTTTTAATTGCATGAGCTATTAGTAGACTACGGTCTAAATCCATCCTGCAGGCTTTCGTGCTTGCAGCCGTAGTTGTGGTCAAACAACAGTTGAGCCTCGGGGGTGAGCGGGCGAGGCTGACAGGTGCCTAGCGTGAGGCTTAGTCCGTACTCCATGCCAATCATCCCAAGGCTCGTATTGGCCACTACACTAGGACTTCACATTAAATAATCTCTGTCATTGTGATGATAGTCCCTTAGCTTGAATACTCCGCCCTGGTGACTCAATCTCTGAAGGTTTCTGCTTTTCCAAGCTTCTTCCTCTTTGAGTCATTTCCGATCATTGTACAAGGCGAAATCACCTGGGAAACCAAAAAAAAAACAAAACGAAAGAAAGACCCATCAAAGTCAGCGCAGCATGTCTCCATCACTGCAATCTCGCGCCAAAGGTGCCATCTGGGGCGTCTGCGTAGCAGACGCACTCGGCGGCCCCGTCCAATTCAGAGACGCGGGAACATTCGAGCCAATTACATGCTTGAGATTTGTCGCGCCTTTCAAGCAACCAGCTGGGTGAGTTTCGATCACAGTCCTATATACGAAGTACTTGTGACTAACATGAACAAGATCCTACTCCGACGACGGATCTATGACTCTAGCCTTGGCATGCTCCTTTAGCAAATCCAATATGCAATACAACCACAAGCTTTCAATCCAATACTTTATCGAGTGGATGACTAAAGGTCATTTCAGCACTGTCAACCACTCATGGGATGTAGGACGCTCTACTCGCACCTCCCTTCGGCTGTGGGTGCAGTTTGGCATGGAGGAGGGAGAATTCGAACTTGCCCAGGCGATGGTCACCGAAAGATTGGATCACAACGAGTTCTCCGGGAACGGAAGCTTGATGAGGATTGTCCCTATTGGGTTGGTTTACTGGCGAGATTCTGGTTTGGCGAGGGAAATCGCCAGAAGACACAGCCGGATCACCCATCCTTCGCTCGCATGTGTGGAAGCCTGTGAAGTGTACACGCAATTGGTGTGTGGAGTTCTGAATGGTTTGTGATTCGATTCTCTGATTCCTTCCAAGACTTGTCCCTGACGCTTTTTATAGGTCAAACGAAGAAACAACTCTTCCACACAGTGTCCACGTTCCCGTTTACTCATCCTACTCTGCAACTGCGGTTGTCCCGGCACAGATACAGGACGCTTAGTGATTGGAAGGCCAAGGTGCCCAGTGATGTAACGAGTAGTGGATGGGTGGTTGATACACTGGAGTGTGCGCTGTGGGCATTTTTCAAGTATGATACATGGAAGGATGGGGCGCTGGCAGTTGTAAATCTGGGTGGTGACTCGGATACTGCAGGCGCTGTTTATGGCGGTCTTGCGGGCTCGTACTATGGGTTTGATGCTATTCCTGGTGAGTGGGTGGATGGGATGCAGAATAAAGGGTTGATTGAAAGTATTGCTGGAGCTCTGTCTGATGGGGTGGCTTGAGATTCTTTAAATTATATGATAGGACTCGAAATCGAACTGATCAAAGTGACTGACATTCAAGCACGACACTGGCTCCAGTGCTACTTCCTAAAAGGGTCCCGTGTCAACCAATGTCCGTGTGTAGACTGGGAAGGTGCGATGTGAAATTGACAGTCAGGGAAGGTGCAAGGGAACCGTCCACTTTCGGAAGGTCTGCATGTTCTCTGGGGTATAAAAGGGCACCCACCTCCTTTCCTCCTCTTCTCTTTTTCCTCTCTCTCTCACCCTCTCGACCACCATCTCACCGTA